ATTTTCTTTTCAAAGGCACATTTGTTCCCAAATGGAATTGGAATGTGTTCAGGGTTACCTTAGGCATCTTTCTTAGAAGTTTTAAGAAATTTCATTTTTTTTGCCAAAATTGAAAAAAATACAAGGGGTTAGCCTTACATTTTAAACCAAATTTGGCCAAAAATGGACTTTTCTCCAAACAACGCAGAAAAACCTCTTGAGACGAGTTGAGCAGGAATCAATATTCAAACACCCAAACTTTGGCAGATTTTGGCAAAATTCATCCATTTTGGGTTAGGAAATACATGTAAATAAAAAGCAAAATTTCAACTGTTTTACCCCAAATTTCGGCCAAATTTATTTTCAAAGGCACATTTGTTCCCAAATGGAATTGGAATGTGTTCAGGGTTACCTTAGGCATCTTTCTTAGAAGTTTTAAGGAATTTCATTTTATTGCCAAAATTGAAAAAAATACAAGTTAGCCTTACATTTCTAACCAAATTTGGCCAAAAATGGACTTTTCTCCAAACAACGCAGAAATACCTTTGGAGACGAGTTGAGCATGAATCAATATTCAAACACCCAAACTTTGGCAGATTTTGGCAAAAATCATCCATTTTGGGGTAGGAAATACATGTAAATAAAAAGCAAATTTTCAACTGTTTTTACCCCAAATTTCGGCCCAATTTTCTTTTCAAAGGCACATTTGTTCCCAAATGGAATTGGAATGTGTTCAGGGTTACCTTAGGCATCTTTCTTAGAAGTTTTAAGAAATTTCATTTTTTTTGCCAAAATTGAAAAAAATACAAGGGGTTAGCCTTACATTTTAAACCAAATTTGGCCAAAAATGGACTTTTCTCCAAACAACGCAGAAAAACCTCTTGAGACGAGTTGAGCAGGAATCAATATTCAAACACCCAAACTTTGGCAGATTTTGGCAAAATTCATCCATTTTGGGGTAGGAAATACATGTAAATAAAAAGCAAAATTTCAACTGTTTTTACCCCAAATTTCGGCCAAATTTCTTTTCAAAGCCACATTTGTTCCCGAATCGAATTCGAATATGTTTAGGGTTACCTTAGGCATCTTTCTTAGAAGTTTTAAGGAATTTCATTTTTTTGCCAAAATTGAAAAAAATACAAGGGGTTAGACTTACATTTCTAACCAAATTTGGCCAAAAATGGACTTTTCTCCAAACAACGCAGAAATACCTTTGGAGACGAGTTGAGCATGAATCAATATTCAAACACCCAAACTTTGGCAGATTTTGGCAAAAATCATCCATTTTGGGGTAGGAAATACATGTAAATAAAAAGCAAATTTTCAACTGTTTTTACCCCAAATTTCGGCCCAATTTTCTTTTCAAAGGCACATTTGTTCCCAAATGGAATTGGAATGTGTTCAGGGTTACCTTAGGCATCTTTCTTAGAAGTTTTAAGGAATTGCATTTTTTTTGCCAAAATTGAAAAAAATACAAGGGGTTAGCCTTACATTTTAAACCAAATTTGGCCAAAAATGGACTTTTCTCCAAACAACGCAGAAAAACCTCTTGAGACGAGTTGAGCAGGAATCAATATTCAAACACCCAAACTTTGGCAGATTTTGGCAAAATTCATCCATTTTGGGGTAGGAAATACATGTAAATCAAAAGCAAAATTTCAACTGTTTTTACCCCAAATTTCGGCCAAATTTTCTTTTCAAAGGCACATAATGTTGATCAAAGTCAATTATTAAATATTTATCGATTCATGAAATAGATCGTTGTATTGTTTTTAATACTACTGGAGACCTGCTGAGCAGATGTAAATATCAAATTAAACTAAAGCTTAAAAAATAGAGGCTTAAAAAAATCAAAAAGTTATGTGCTAGCTAAGCATTCAGGGATCGGTCTGAGCCATAACAATGCCCCAGCCAATCCCCTAGGACTCTTCCGGGATCTCAGCGTTCCCAGCCAATACACACTTCCTTCCCTGTCCATCCATGTAACCCGAGGGCCAGGCGCCATGTAAAAGCAAAGAGCTAAGGGAGGAACAGGGCGGCACCCTAAGCCCTGATCCTCCGAGTGGACCACATGCCCTGAACCTGTACGAAGACGCCAACCTGGAATTCGCGGACAGTACCAGCAGCAGTGCTTACCGATTAAGCTAAGGTACTGTTGGTGTTTTACGACGGGAAATTAAACATCTTATATTGACTGAATGCGTACGTTGAAAAGCAAAATCACATCGACGGGATTCGAACCCGGGACCCGCGATTTGTAGACGACGAATCTAACCACTCGGCCATTCGGCTTTCTTAGAATTCTGCTCAAAAACGATTTGTATGAATACAACGTTTGCAGAGAAACAAGGAACAATGCTGTGTGCATCTGTTTCAGCTAGCTCCATGGACGAAACTGAAGTCAACATTATACGGACGTCTTTAAGAATTAAACTAATTTGTTTTACGGATTTGTGTTTTGGGAAAATGCATCATGTGCGTTCTGGTGCGGACCAGGAATGTTTTCATCCGATTGTTGTCGACAGGCGGACAGGCATTTTTCGTGTGTGTCAGACCAGGAAGGGGGGGGGGGTTCGTCCCCGTCTGGATCCCGCCTACTCTTTGTATTTGGTCATCAGATACAGATTCTGAACTCCGTCACTACTATTTCAACATTTATTATACGGACGCCTTTAAAAAATGAACTAGCTTGCTTTACGGATTTGTTTGTTAACACTGTAAATCAGACTTCTGTTCCGTTCGACTTCGCTGTTTCCAACAGTCTTCTCATTGGCGTGTAATCAAACGTTTTTTTCCTAAAAAACAATGTGAGCAGTACGTTATCATACTCAATTTTATTATAAAATAAATTAACCCTTCATAAAAGGGCCGGGTTATTTTACCATGTCACAGGTGGGGGGGGGGGTGGTCCGGATCCCCCCCCCCCCTAGATCTTGGCCATAGAGTGACGAAACTCATGAAACTCGGTACATTTTTACATGCATATAGACTTATTATTCAGCACACTACGTTTTCACGACCCGCAGCGCCGGAAATTTTTCGCTTCGCGACAACCCGTGGTGCGAATTTTGTTTGTTTTTTCATCAAAAAGTGCGCAAGACTCATACAGAATGTCCCCCTAAAAAAATCGGGCATGGATTCAGAAAATTTGGTGGGGGGTGTAGTATTCAAAATTATGTCTAATTGCCGAGTAAAATAACTGGTTTCCCAAATTCAATGAAGTTAATTTCTTAATTTCCTAAGAAATTCATTTACAAAACTTTTCCTCCATTTTCTTTTTAATTTTCTGAGGCCCAACAATTGGGAACTGAAAATACCTGTAACTCTGTCCGATTTGTCTGATTCCCATATTCCATGCATCTCTGGAAAGCTTATTCAGCGCTCTTATTATTGAGCCCCAAATCCCAGTTTAAAAAAAAAAGGTCCATATGCCTGGTTTAGTGCTGGAGGGTCACATGTACTACAGGCGCGGTTCTAGAACCAATATTTTTTTTTTTTGGGGGGGGGGGGCTAGCACGGTGGATCCAGAATTTTTTCAGGGAGGCGTGCTGAAATGTAGACCGGTTATTTTTTCCAGACACTTTGGCCTCCGAAAATCAATAGGTGGGGGTGGGGGGGGGGGGGGGGGGGTCATGCCATATTATCAATGGGGAGCGCCAATAAAATCCTAAAATCATTCACACTATATTAACTAATGCACCCTTGTCACGGCTATTACTTCTTTTAGGGGGAGACCGTTCGCATGTACATCACAATCATTCTTTTTGCTAATGCAATTTTTTTTTTTACGGAATTTATTTTTGGGGGGCTAGACAACCTTTTGGGGGGGGGGGGGCTACAGCCCCCCCTAGCCCCCCCCCCCCCCCAGAACCGCGCACCTGATGTACTACATTGTGCTTGTCTTAAAAACAATTACATTGTACAAATGCATATTTTCTCACACACTTACTGAATAAAACATCACGATTTCAATTATCTCCACATCTACATGTACAGGCTAACCCACAAACAAACCTAACCGTTGTGTCGTAAACCAATTTATAAAGATATTGCATGTGAATTTCGGAGTATTTTCTAATTACCTCTTAAAATCAGAAAACCAGTCTACCATACAAACTTGATTTCATCGTCTTGGACCACTTTCCAACTGAGATTTCCAACTGATTTTGTGTTACAGTCACGTGACGTGACGAGGTGTATCAGAAGTTACACTGAGTGCTTAATCTCTCTCACACAGGTAAATCTATATGGAAAAAATAACCGATTCAAGCTGTTGAGTCTCATTCAGAAATGATGTGAAAAGCGATGAGTATATTTATTGTACAATGTACTTGTCGTAGATGCAACAATCAATTCAATTCAATTCAATATATTTATTGTCCATGGTTAAACAACATAGAAATTTGACATCCACTGGCCAAATACAAGTACACACAGTCAATATAAAAACTATATATGAATTACAAAATAAGAGGTTTGAAATACAAAGCAACAAAAGACCCGCACACTAAAAAAAATGCACCAGCCAAAACAACGCCACCGGTCACATGGAACACCCAGCCTTAAGCTTCCTACCCCGTAGTCCCCCGTGACCAATCAACGCTGCCCCGACCAATCCATTCCAAGAGTGCGAAAAATACATTACAAGACCATGGTAAAAATAGTTAGACCCTGCTTGCATTGTCGTTGAACATGTGAGTAGCATTAGGAACAAATGATCGTCTGGTGCGACATAGTGAAGTCCTAGGAACAGAAAGACGAATACCCGACCTATGGAATGTAAAACAACGGATGAGAGATGTCTTGCATTATTTTGTGTACTTTAAGCATGAGTCTTTTTTCATACAAGCATAAATTAATATTTTAGTTTATTTTTTGTTTTGTTTTTAATTCAGTTATAACTGTATACTATCTCAGGTTCCGATCGCGGACAGTACGTCCAATACCAAAATATAAGTATGAATGTCTTTTGTAAAAAAAACACCAAACGATTGTAGCAATAAAACAAATAATTATGCAACTGATTTGTCCATTTTTATTCTCTTCCCAACTTTGCTTGCAAAACCCAAGGCCTAGTAATGTACAGGCCAAATACTTCTCCAGTCCAGCAACTGATGTGGGGCCTCAAAGAAGTACAATTGCAAACATTATCCATTGTGAAATTCATAGAATTTTTTTGTGAAAAAAAATAATACAGGTTTTCCCGGCCAATGTCCTGACTTTTGTCCGTGCATTCGGTTTTGAGAAACAGACGGCCGATTACGTTACCTGTACCTTCATTTACGCCAGCAAACCTTTTCTAAATTGATTTCAGGTACAGCCAATTTGATTGATGCTTCATGAAATAGAAACTCATGGGTGCCGATGGCATTAAACTAAAAGTGAAATAGAATGGTGAATGTTTGAAATAGCCCTCTAAAAGCGAAAGAGAAGTCTTGTAAACGAATCTGAATGCACTTTAAAACGAAAGGTGCTGCTCAATCACTTAATTGATTGAACTGAAATGGAATCGAACGCTCTGGTAGCGAAAATGAAACGCGTGTTCAGAGTGATTCTCAAATTCAGACAAAAATGAATGACCAATTATCAGAAGTGAATGATCATTTTAGGAAATAGGCAGGGAAAACAATATATCGACCATCAAAATATCATTTTGTTGAGAACTTTACATCTTAATAAGTACGTAATGTTCAGACGAAATCAATGTTCAGACGAAATCATTTCTCTTGCAAATTACACAAACCACAGCAACAGCAAACGTTGAACAAGTAAGATATTTCCAAACTTATTACTTCTGGGTAAAATTATTAAGCGAGAATTGGTTATACAATTCATGCAAATTATCACACTTATGTAATAAATGAAGAAGAACCAGACACATTGTTGAAGATCACAAATTACATTTTAAACTCCAAACAAAAGTACAAAGTGAATTGAAAAAAAATGATACACATTAAAATCAAAGCCTAATCTTCTTCTTGTATCCTTTTAGAAACTGTTATTTCTAATTCTTGATTTCATACAGAGTTTGCACATCTCATTTCATCTTTATGGCACCTTACAGAATAAAACTGGCATTAAAGCAAAACCAACAGAGTGTTACCAATGTCCATGAAACCAAAGCAAAATTTCCCAGTTTTAGTTTTCAAAAGAATTTTTTTTTTCATACACAAGTATAAAAAGCATACATGTACATTCATGCAAAAACCAAAAAGGTATAAAACATTTTTTCCCCCCAGCTATTTAGCCATCAGATAAATGCCGAAAGAAGTTTAATTAAGGAGGGGGGGGGGGGGAAATGCCATGTAAAATTAAGAAACTGTTTTTGTACAATTTCATGCAATGTCTTAACCCCTCCCCTCCCCCATTCCCAATCGCAGAAAAAAAATTTCAGTAGCAAAATCACAGTTACTTTTGGTAGAATTTTATAATTCTTCTTTAATGAAATCACTTACTGCTCAAAATTACAGACAAGATACAGGAAAACTGAACAAGACAAAATAAATCATTGACTCATTTTTCGTTTTTCGATTATCTTTTAAATGTATAAAGTTATTAAAATACAGTGTTATTCAAAATTTGTAAGTACTGATCCAAAGCACCTTATGGTCCAAAGTCTGACATTTTTCCTGTCCCTGTTACCTTGGTACTTTGTAATTTACCATTTCATTATCATTACAAATGACTTCAAACGTTTTTTTATTTGCTGGGTAGGTAGTTTGTAATATATTCATTATCACTCTTGGAGGATGACTGCACTAATAAAAAGTACATCAGATTTATAAAATCGTCAATGTCAGATGTACCTAAAATGATTTGCTGGTAAAAGATAATACTTGGTGACCTCATTCTCGGTCTATGGCAGCATTTAGTATTGTGCAAACACTCCAATTATATGGCAGCATTTAGTATTGGGCAAACCATCCAATTATTAGGAAAATTCCATTCAAATTTCACACATAATTTACATCCTATTTTGGTAAAAACACTCCTTCTTTTTTTTAGAAAACCCTGCAAATATAGTTTTAACTAGGCGTATTTTCTTCATTCAATGCTTGTCCAATAAAACATAATTGCCCTGTCAACTACTAGCCCTGTCAACTTTTTTACTTTACATGCAAGGTAAATCTTATAAAAGGAAACTTGTACTGAGGTAAAATGCTGTGCATGAAAAAACTAAAAAACTTATTCTGTTAGATGATTTTGTCCCAATAAATTTGCATACTACATTTCGTCCTCAGCTTTTTGGGAACTTTTTGAGTGTTCTCCAGAGCTCTAACAGCCCATGCCAGACTGCTGTCTTTGATTGGTCGATTGGTACATGTACAATGTTAGACCAATGTCTCTGATTGGTTGACCGATAGACAATGTCTCTGATTGGTCAACTGCTAGAGTGATGTCAGACCGATGTCTCTGATTGGTGGGCTGTTGTCAGACCAATGTCTCTGATTGGTCGACTGGTGGGATGTCAGACCAATGTCTCTGATTGGTCAACTAGAAGATTGATTTCAGATAGATGTCTCTGATTGGTTAACTGGTAGGTTGAGGTCAGACTGATGTCTCGGATTGATTGACTGGTGGGGTCATGTCAGACCGATGACTCTAATTGGTTGACTGGAATGTTGATGTCAGACCGATGTATCTGATTGGTTAACTGGTAGGCTGATGTCAGACTGATGTCTCTGATTGGTCGACTCGCAGGTTTATGTCAGACTAATCTGATTGGTTGTCTGGTGGGTTGATGTCAGACCGATGTATCTGATTGGTTAACTGGAAGGCTGATGTCTGACCATTGTCTCTGATTGGTCGACTGGCAGTTTTATGTCAGACCGATGTGATTGGTTGACTGGGAAGTTGATGTCAGACCGATGTCTCTGATTGGTTAACTGGTAGGCTGATGTCAGACCGATGTCTCTGATTGGCAGTTTGAAGTCAGACCGATGTGTCTGATTGGTCGACAGGTAGGTTGACTGCTGATGTAGTACTGGTCTGTGTCGTCACTTGTGTAGTGTTTGGGTAACTAAGATCGGTTGCTGAGTTCTGTAAAAAAAAAAGTGAGACCAATGTTGAATTATTGCAATATTACAATACTGAAAAAGCTAGGGGTGAGTTTGCTGTTTCAATGGACTGTGTGTAGCCTCCTGCACTTACTCACCTACTGTTAAAATTGCACAATTAATGTTGAACACTGACTGTTGATGCTATTTTGCTAACATGGCTAAGGTCTAATGAATAGACCAATCTGGAAACCCCTGCCCATTGTGGTCAACAACACATGCACTTCTCCAATGCCACACTGCATTCCCAAAAGCATGCGTCATACTCGCACCCGTACCCAGTTAGACTTTTGTGCACCTGTGTAGGACATTAATCACCATCTTGATTGGTCAAAACATAAATGGGGGCGGGCCTCAATGGCTGGGTCTATTGTCTTGATCAATTGTGAGTACACCCTAACCCCCATCTAGTACTCTTCAGGCTCCCTGCTAAATGCAACAATTTCCAACTCAACTCAAATGAGAACCTAGCCCGACTGCGTCTGGCCGTACAGTACTATCGCAAGCTCTGTAGTACGGCCAGACGCTCAATGCTTCCACACACACTGAATTTTTTTTCACTCTGATGTAGCGATTTGCTACAGATTTTGATCGAGATTATCTTCTCGTCCAGGACAGAAATATCCAAAGTTAAGGTTCTTAGTCAGAGAGCAACTCATACCTTTTTGAAAAAACGTTCTTTGGTCCCAATATTTTCATCCATCTGGCCAAAAGACAACTTTTAGTCATCATCTTCCACAAATATCGTCCTGAAAATGTCCTCCATGCGATTTCAAAATGGCGGCCGCGTTGTAATGTATGCATTATGCAGGCGTGCTTGGGCAAGATAATGAATATGCATCATAGTTTATGACGTTTGTCGGGCGCGCGGCGCGGCTGGCCATACAAACACGAGGTCATGAACTAAATAATGAGAACCCTGCTAAATGCAACAAACTGCAACAGTGGATTATGTTGCATTGTGTAGTGAACCCAGTGCATCTAAATGAAACAAAATCGCCTTGGCACTATGAGCAGTTACCCTGCTAAATGCAACAAGATGCAGCAGCACAGTAACTTGAGTTGGCCGCTAAATGCAACAACTTGCAACAACTTTTGACCGCTGTTGCATTCTGTAGCATTTTAGCAGGGTTAGGGTCAACGGTAAGAAAGGGAGAGTCGGGGGAGACCACTGGGAGGAAATCTTGAACCCATTGCCGATGACACCTAACGCTCATGCGAAACACTTCAGGTTTGTGCACATTCGGAATCAAATTAGATGTGCGCGATTTGCCGCGTGCGCCAGCGAATTAGCATACGCATGTGGTGTGTCCCCTCCCACTGGGCTTCTCGAAAGTGATCAGATAGTATACAAATACTGAGTGTTCATGAGTGCAATGGTAAGAGTAATTCAAATTAGGTTTTGCCCTTCACAGACGTATAAACACTGTATACTCAGTGTGTCACCTCCCGAGTGAAAGTTGGAAAACACCACTCAGGTTGGACTTGAACCCACGACCTCCTGCTTTCTAGTGCAGTTGTCTTACCACTCGACCACCGAGCTAACGGGATCGGTTGGCTGGTTTGAATGGTAAGAATAATTTCATGAGGTGACAAATGGGTGTTCCATTGCACGAGGCAAAGCCGAGTTGAATGGAACATTCAGGGACGTGAAGTCTTAAAATTGGATGAAAAGTCTGAAAGATGTATTTCTTTCTATGATGATAATGTCTTTCTCTCAGATTCGAAAGTCTGAATTCAAACCAAAGTCTGAAAAATCTCATGCCTGAACGTTCCATTTGTCACCTCATGAAATTATTCTTTCCATTGCACGAATGTGAAACATTCATTATTTGTTATACAACACCTGAATATATCCTCCTTATCTGATTGGTCAGAGCCACCAATAATGTGACTGTGCAATGGAACTTCCATTTTATAATACCGCGGAATTGAACTTCTATTTTTGCCATGCGGCTGGGCCGTGATCAACGACCCACTGATCAGATGACGGGGATTTATTCCGGCGTTGCACAATACCATCTACCATTAGTCCACGGACTCCATAAGGTTGAGGGCATTTGAACGAACTTTGCATTGGATTTAGACAAGGAAATGACAGGAGCCGACAAGCTAGCATACGTACCGGTGAAGCTGGGAGGTGCTGGGAATGGAGGACAGCATCGTGCAGAGTCAGGTACATGTGATCCAAGCCCACACTGTGATCTTGACAACGCTCAAAGTAATTCAGTATGGAATTTCTTGGCGCAGCTGGGGACAAAATTGAGAAAGAGAAATACAAAGTTAACGCATCAATTGAGGTTTTTCTTTATTTTACAATTTACTTTTACAGCCAAAACTTGTCAATGGAATGTCCAAAACTTGTCAATGGAAAGTACAACAAACAGTATTGTTAGGAGAGTTTTATTCTCTTTCCTCATACCCGCAAAACCTCATTTGCACCTCTGCCCAGTTCTGTCTCATTTTGCCAGAACACCTCACATATATCTCCTCACTGTCGCCAGAACGCACAATTTCTCAGTAGTCTTGGCTCAAGACGCTAGTGATCGATAGTGAACGGTGCATAGTGGGCCCTCTTTTTGGCACAGCAAGTATACCAGCCAGGGATTTGATTGGTCTGTGACAAAAAAACCTGAAAACGTTATGCATGAAGTGCAAACTCTGGCGAGCGCGAAGCGCTAAGCCATTACGGCGTGGGGTCCGGGGCCCGCTTAAAATTTTTGATTTTAGATGCTCTGTGGTGCAATCTGAGGCTATTACTGGGCACTTTCCTCTGAAATTTTGGAGCAGAATTTGTTTTAATTTTAAGAAGAATTTTCCTTCATTTGTTAAAATGTACTCTTGTTCTTATAAAGTTTCTTCTGTACTCAAAGCTGAGAACCATGCATTTTCATGTTACCTCACCGTATTTGCCATGCTTTGGTGTGCTTTGGGTGTTTCACATGGGATGCGACTCGAGCGATTTCTATCCACTTGACGCGTAGTTGATAATGTCATTGCAAACATTGCAAAAAACCTTGCCAGCGCCGGGTTGCTATTTTATCAAAACACTCTTGAAATTCATGCTGATGCCCGTCAATAATAACGGAGTCCCGAAACCATTGCTACCGAAACTTATTTTTCACTTCTTTATCAAGCTCTCGCAGTCGCACTGACAAATCTCCTTGCAACAGTATCGACTTGTTGGGCGCAGCCATGTTGGAAGCAGCCACGCACGTAAAACAACGCAACAACGTGCATAATCCACATTGTACCGTATTAGTATGTACACCTGACCAGCGCTACACGTGCATCTCTCAAGTACCGAAACAGGAACTAGATCTAAATAATCACAACCTCGGACCCGCGCGAAAGATCACATGATCGCGCTAACGGCAACGCAAAGTCTTCAACTTCGTTTTCACATTGGGTATTCAATATGTGCGTGCGTTAAAAGATATATCGATCAACGAAGTAATGTTCGTAAGTAAATTTCGGATATTTCTGCAAGCAAAACTCATTATGAATAATTAATTAGCACATTCTACCCAGTTTTCTCCAATGATGGTCTGCCGACCTGCATTGGAAAAATACAGTTTTTCTTGAACATGACAGCACACCAGGAGCCACGATTTTAAAGGATGCTTTAGACTGTCATTCCCTAACAAGTGAGTAAGGTATTTTGTGATAATTTGATCATTTTGTTTTTTTGATGTTTGCAAATGTTGTATCTTCCCTTTAAGAACTTTTTCAATGTGATTCCCTCACCTTTGCTTCCAGCAAACACCACCCGGATGTCCCGCTTTGTACAGTAAGCAATGATGGTGTGTAGCGTCTTCAGTCCCACGGTGTCGATGAAGCCGAACATGCCACAGTCCAGAATGATGGTGTGGACGGGCGACTGGACGGCCGCTGTGGTCTCGGCTGGGCCTGCGGTTTCGGAGGGTTCAGTGGATGAGGGAGTCCTTTCATCATCCGCACGCTGAAGAGTGCGTGAAGACAAAGCGTGTGAAGAGTTTGAAGATTAATACTTTTAACACTGGGTTTGGCCCTTTGTTACAACTGATAATGTAGTAACCATCGAATAACGTATCACCAACCGATAATGTATCACAAATTGACCGATATTGTATCACTAACCGATAATGTAGCAAAAATTGACTGATAGTGTAGTAAAATTTGTATCCGATAATGTATCACGTGTCGACGGATAATGTAACTACAAAATAACTGTATCCGATAATGTATCACCACAGAACGGATACTGTATCAACCGATAAAGTACCAAAATCAACCGATAATGTATCAAAAATCAACCGATAATGTATCAGTATATTTGGAAAAGGTGGAAATATTGCAAATTAATTACAGTCTAATAAGTGTCTTTGCTATGATAAGTCCCCACTCGGGAAAGTTTATCATTAAGAATATTTTTAACTGCATTCGCACATCCGCGCCGAAATGTGGACAAGTTCTTTTCTCCGGACACTTGGCCTCCGTATGGGCTCCGTGCTCCAACCCAAGAGGGCGCGTTTTACCACTTTTGAGAGCACCATGTATGGAGATCAATGGACGGGACACAGCATGTGCGAACTGTACTGTACTGGTTCGCGCGCAAAGTTCAACGCCACTTCCAGAATGTGCCAAGGCTATTAGCCGCAGCGTCTTCGCATGATTGTCAGGCAACGTCGGCGCGCGCATACGTTCAATTTAACTTGCGATGGTCTCACAGACTATTCCCTCCCCCAATAACTTTGCATCATTCAAAATACGCAGTGGATGGACCGGGAACCAGTCTAGGTCCTCCCCCAACTCTCCGTTTCTGGCCGTTGAAGGGGCACTTGTGCACGGAGCCCATAGCTCCATGGTAAAATAAAAAAACTGAGGGGGGGGGGGGGGCTGGAGACCACATGACACTGGGGGCGCTGTTCATGATACAGATGTATCAGCGCATTTCAAGCTTTTTGTGCTTTTTCTCCCTATCTCAGTAGTATTTAATGCATTTCGGCGGTTGGGAAGTTTGAAAAAAACACCCCCAAATCTGCCCTTTTTTCTCTAAATACAAAATAATGGGGGTGGGGTGATCCAATAGCCCAGACCCCTTTCCCCGGTCAAAAGGTGGGGCGGGATACATAGGACATAAAACAAACATTTGTGTACACCTTTTCCCCGTACTGATACATTATCGGTTGATTTTTGATACATTATCGGTTGATTTTGGTACTTTATCGGTTGATACAGTATCCGTTCCGTGGTGATACATTATCGGATACAGTTATTTTGTAGTTACATTATCCGTCGACACGTGATACATTATCGGATACAAATTCTACTTCACTAACAGTCAATTGTTGCTACATTATCGGTTAGTGATACAGTATCAGTCAATTTGTGATACATTATCGGTTGGTGATACATTATCCGTTGGTTACTACATTATCAGTTGTAACACCCTTCACAGATGTAACTTTATAAGCAGCGCTGTCAAAGAAGACTAGACATATGTGATGCGATCAAGCTAAATGAGTCGTTTGTCGGGAAGTTTTATTTGGAGATACAGGCCAAAATAGAGCCACCTCATCACATCACATCACTTGGTGTTCCGAATTCTATAATTTGTGAAGTAAAGATGGTATCAGCATGAGGTTTTCACAGCAGTAATGCTGAGATGGTAAGCAGCAGGGGGGTAGTTCCTTGTTGACGAAAGTTGACCAAGGAAAGGGTTATGAAGTGTTTTTAAAATTACATCGCTTCCAACACAAAATTTCCATTCTATTCCAAAAGCGTAAAGCAAACTAACCCTGTTTATGTTAAATCATCATACTGGGACAAAGCTAGGATTTGTGGAAGATATTTCTGACAATAATGAACTCTAGCACTTACAGAATCCAATTAGGTTTTGCCCTTCACCGACGTATAAACACTGTATACTTAGTGTGTGACCTCCATCACGTGGGTGGGACTCGAACCCACGACCTCCTGCTTTCTAGTGCAGATGTCTTACCACTCGACCACCGAGCTAACGTGACGCAGGGCAAAACCTGATTTGATTTACATCCCCCCGGTGTAAAAAATCCCATCTTATGAACACTTACAGAAGGTTCCTCACTGGATACGACGTTCCCATTGTCTCTGTCTGGGTTGGCTCCGTGTCGCTTCTTCTTGAAGACTTTGGAGTAGAGACTGTTCTTGAAGTATTCGGCATTGACGAAGCAGAGACATGAGTGGGAGCGGAAGATCCTGATGCCTGGGATCTGCTCGGCCTGGTGGAGAGAAAGGATGAGGTGATACAAGGGAAATGGTGTCACATGAAAATTATGACTAACCCTTTCCTTACCAGACTGTTTATTGACTCGGCTCTCCCCAGTACAGAATAGATATTTATCAGGGTGTATCATCTTGAAAATCAGGGTGAGGCATATAACGTAAACCAACATTTCTCAAGTTTCACTGTACCCAGACTCGTTTCAGTGTATTTGGTACGAGCCCTACATGGGACATCTACACCGGTCTGCTGAACAACTTAGGGGTGTGAATAAACGGGTAGTACATGAACCGGGTACCCTATTGAAAAAAAAGTATGGGTACCCTGGTACCCGTTAAAGAAACCCGAGCCAAACTTCAAATCTTGGAAGTTGCTGTTCCGATTGTTCATAAAGGTCCGCATGATAATTACTATCACATCGGTGCGGCAATACGGCTAGATAGGGTGTATACAGTGAGCTCTTTAGGTACGTGTATGTGGTGAAAACTGCAACTTGGCAAGCATCATAAAACGTGAAATTGGTTTTGGTTTTCCGTGTATCAAGGTTTTCATTTTGAAATATTCCCACTAACATTCGAAACATTTCTTTTTCATTGACTGGGAAGTTACCAAGTAATTTGCAAAGCTGATTACGGGCACTCGATTCCATAATCTGGAACCGGTTCCTGACATTAACAGTCGGCAGAGTTGTAATGACTCGAGTCGATGACTCGACTCGAGTCCAACTCGAGTCACATTTTTTGGTGACTCGACTCGAGTCCCTAACGGTAAATGATTCGACTCGACTCGAGTTACTGCGAGCAATTGACTCAACTAGAGTCCCTCATCAGAAGACTCGACTCGACTCGAGCGAAGGCTAATAAGACTCAAGTCCCAAAAATAAAAGCAAAACTTTGCGAAAAGTATTTGCAATGACTTACGTTGCAAAATTTATGCTCACTTCGCTTTGCGAACAGCAGTAATGTATAAATATACAACTTGTCACAGACTCCCACCTCATGGTTCTAGAACGCATAATATATTATCCAGGAACCAGATTTTTAAACACATTTTCTAATTCGCTGTTTCATCATTGGCTTTGGGCGATTTCTTATTAAGCTCTTGGATTCGAACGCTGGTTAAACTTATTGCCTCCTTTTATAAATCTTGGTATATAGTGTTCAAATATTCGTGACTCGAATTGACACGAGCTAAATATTTGACTCGACTCGACTCGACTTGACCTTTTGACCTAATGACTCGACTCGACTTGAGTCACTGCTTTAAAATGACTTGACTCAACTCGAGTCACTTCTTTAAAATGACTCGACTCACTCAAGTCACAAAAATTAGTGACTCGTTACGACTCTAACAGTCGGGTAGTCGGGTACCCGATTCCAACACACAGCCCTAGAACTTGACTGGTATCTCGAAGGGCTCGTGCCATTTTGCACTGAAAGAGTCAAAGTACAGCGCACTACAGTTGGGAAGTGAAAGGAAAATTGTTCACTCGGTACAGGGCTGAAGTTTGTTTGTTTGAGGTTCGTGCAGTTCCCTCTTTATTTCTGGGGAAGGACAGGTCCTGTGTGTATGACAATTTGTGGATACTCTTACAAGTGTATAGCGTAAGTACATCCTACTTCTCCGACGCAGAAACTAGCCCTTTTGGGGACCCAATTTGGTTAATTACCTTAATTTAAAAAAAAATTCTAAACCAATTCCGGTGATCTTCCATCTAATCCTAGCCAGAGACACCCGCTACGGATATATGCAGTCACCTTTAGTGTGTGACCCCGAGTCGGGCATATCTGAGCCTGACAACCTGGGCTAAGGACCGACGCAATTTCTGCCCACCCGGGGACCCACCATATACACGTGCACAAACAAGGTCACTTGCGGGTAGACAGTGCACGGCTTGACCACAGACTATGTATACAATACACCGCCTTAGTCCACAGACATGGCAAGATTGTGTTCATGTGGATACAGTGTTGTGTAGCCTCAAACCCTGGCGCTAAATATTTGGGTCCCTGGGGGACCTCTTACTGTAAGTGTGTTAGTAAAAGGGCTTTCTGCGTCGGAGGGTTAACGGTGCAATTTCAGCTCAGAAAACATCACGGATGGAAAAGTGAAAATATAAAGTCTTTAGGTTTCTCTGACGGAGGTGGTACGCGCATTAAACCATAGAGGAATAAGAATGAACACGGAAACTTCAGTTGGTCCACTGGTCTTAGGATTTCTATTTATAAGATCCTTCTTCAAAATACGAGACGTGACCTTGATTGATGCTTCGGGGAATTTGAGCTATCCATTTATAAGTGTCAATCTGCTGTAACTTTGTGAGAGTTACTTGGTCACCGCACGCACTATTTTCTCCGCCATATTTGCTTGCGTTATTATGGTTCGCCTTAATTTTCAAGATGGCATACCCTGATAAAGGTCCATTGTTTCAGCAGGGATGCCAGTGGGTTTTTTGCTCCAGGGTCTGACAGATTTGACATGTGAAAGAAGGCGAAATGCACAAAACGATAACAATCCACCATAAAGACATTGCAACACAACACAAGTCGACTTTGAACTTACAATTGATACCACTGCGCATCAAGTCAGCATGGCGATTGCCATGCAGCATTGCATGCACAATATATTTTGCTCTGTGCCTGCTACCGTACATGAGGATTATTTTTTTTCGGCCTGTAAAGGGATGAAATGCCCGAATTTGTTTTTCCAAAACATGAAAAAGTCTGAATTCAGGCTACATAGCTTGAACACTGGTATCCTCGTTCCACACGGCAGTGATTTCCGCGTGACTCCACAAGTCATGCAGAAATTACTTACTAGAGCGTGAAAAAATGAATGGCATTATTCAGTCACTAGGCTGCTAGGTCACATCTAAATAGTCACTCCAAACACTCAGGGTGCATAGACGTGCACTAGTATCCTCACTGCCAGGCAATATGTGTATATTATAACACCTCACCCACAGATTCTGTGTCTTGATTGGCCGAGAGCAAGTCACATGACACTTTCTATTTTTGCTATCTTTCTGTGCACGGCCAAAAGTACTATACCATTAGCAACCAAAGTACTACTTCCACGGCGCGGTATTTGTGTGTAAATGCATGCTGGTGTGTGCATTGCGCGTTGCACGTAGCGCGTTTTGTTCCAAAGAGAGCGCGCCACAGAGTTGGGTTCAAACATTTCGCGAAGGGGTAGTCTGGAAGAGAGAAATACATTTTCCACCAAGTTTGTATTGAAATTGAAGTTTATTTCAACTGTCTGACTGTGTTCAGATTTAAATAATCAAAATTATAACACCTCACCCACAGATTCTGTGTCTTGATTGGCTGAGAGCGAGTCACATGTTACTTTCTAATTTTGCTATCTTTCTGTGCATGGCCAAAAGTACTATGCGCATAGCAACCAAAGTACTATACCATTAGCAACCAAAGTACTATTTCCACGGCGTGGTATTTGTGTGCAAATGCATGCTGGTGTGCGCGTTGCGCGTAGCGCGTATTATTCCAAAGAGAACGCGCCACAGACTTGGGTTCAAACATTTCGTGAAGGGGTAGTTTTAAAGAGAGAAATACATTTTCCACCAATTTTGTATTGAAATTGAAGTTTATTTCAACTGTGTTCAGATTTGAATAATTTAAAATATTAAAATCAAGCAGAATCTGTGGGTGAAGTGTTATAAAACAAATATTGAATGCTTTATCTCGTGGTGAAGTAAAACTAGCCAATGTCCATGGATCACCTCGGGAGGCTAGTTTTACTACACCACTCGAAGCATTCAATATTTGTATACTAGCACGTCTGTTTCTCTTGGCTTACCGCCTCATAGTAGTTGACGTCCCGGTAGATGTCGGTGCCCGGTATGCGGCCCATCAGGGTACAGTATGGCTGCTGCGTGCGTATGATGACTGTCATCAGTGAGAAGACCACGCCCAAGGCTAGGCCCACGTCCACGCCCAGCAGTACGACAGCTAGGAAGGTGACTGTCCATATCAACTAGTCAGCAGAAAAAACGATAAATTCCACAGTTACTCATTTCAGATATTGCGGGCCAAATGGCCCAATCTGCCTGTATGCCCTGAGCTTAAAGGTATAGTCCATCATTTGTAATTTGTGCATTTTGGTCGTTTGAAGCAACAAAAGTGCTCAAAATCTAAAGAAGGGTACTGAACAACTAACCTGATGAAGTTTCAGCTCAGCTTCAGCTGTATATTTCGAGAAAAACAACATTCTAGGATCTCGATTTCAAATCAAAAGTTGCTGAATCATGTTTTGAATTGGGCCTGAATTCAGCGTCCGAGACACGTTCTCACTGAGCCGATTGCAGGTACGTAATGTTGCGCACTGATCCGACGAATTATAGCAACCGCCCGCGCGTGTCCGTCATGCCAATGCTTGCGTGCGCTTCGCCGAATAACAAAACGAACTACTAATTTAAATTTTCTACGGTGCTTCTTAAGAAGCACCGTCGGATCGGAAAGGCATTCCTTTATGATTTCTTTAAAATAACTGCTTGCCAGAAAGAATAATTTCACAGGGAGTTTAGTCCTCTTACTATCTTTCAACCAAGTATGTTTTTCAACCATAATTACGCCGGTTACTTTTTGGATAGCTGCAAATGATGGACTCTGGCTTTAACTACGCAAAAGAATTACGCAGGGATTTGAAGTGTTATGCATACTCCACTAACGATTACCTCAAATGAATTTGACGTATGGGTGCTAACTGTGTGGGCAAAAGTGGTTTTGCAAAAACTTGAAAAGGTTGTGAAGTGCAAACAACCTGTTGGGTTAAAAGCTGTACATCATGTGTTTTCACGTGTTACTTCATGTTATACATGTGTTTTTCTGTTTACAAAACAAGCCCAAATTAGACTTGAAATATTGTATTAGTCCTTCATAAACATCGCAAAAAAGGAAAGTTCACACTCATTCGTCCCAGATTGACAACGATTTATGAAAAAACGTGCACTTTGAAAATTACAAATTTAAAGTGTAAAAACAATTCTCATAGGGATGTATGTGAATTGTTTTCGTTTTGCTGCAAGAACACTTAACTTTTTTTGTGATCAGTGGCCAGAACTTTAAAAAGGTGTATGTGTTCAAAATTCCGAAACTTGAAAGTGCATGAATGATTTGAATGATTCTTGTACTTAAAAAAATCTTAATGATTGGGCTTTCATATCCTAGATTTTGAAAGTGCTACATGCAGAACTTCATTCAAAAATTGGTCCCGCCATTTGGGTTTTGGTTATTTTTTACTCACCCTGTATTTCAATTGTAATGGTCTAGTCGTACTACCAATACATTAACCCTAACCCCCTAACGCCATAAAAGAAGTCTCCGGTTTCTGGTATGTGCGCGTGCCTCGGTAGCCATGCGCGTCGAATGAAAAAGTTTTTTTTTTCAATGAAAGATGATGTCTCAAATCTGCCAAACTCACTGGTTTGACTGGAATCCTGCTGCACAATTTTAACGTGTTTTTAGATGGGGTTACGATAGAGAATAAGCTTTATGTGGCCTCTCTGGACTCCCATATAATTGCACCAAATTTAGTCAAGCACCATTTGAAGTCATCAGCCGACATTTAAAGCCCCCCAAAAAAAGCGAAAAAAAAAAAAACGGTAAAAAAAAAAAAAAAAGCTGCGTCGCCACACCACTTATTGGGCAAGCTCCATACCAGAAACCGGACATGCCGGAGACTTTTTTTTTGGCCTAAGGCTCTTTGGGTGTCAAACTCCAAATACCAGAGAATACTACAAGTGTTGTCCATACTTGTATGGAAAGAAATGCATACTACAGTTACAACTCAGTAGTATTTTGTAGCTTATGGGGCGGTTAGGATTAATGCATGCTTAGTGTCATCAGGCAGTGTTCTGGGAATGTCATAAAGCTGAACTTGCTTGAACACTCACAAAGTCATAGGTAGAGACCTGCCACAGCAGAATCAAATCTTTGAGCTGGCGGAACATTCCAGCGAGAGCGACCACAATGATAGAAGCCAGACAACACTGCACAGGGGAACAATGGAAACAAAATGAACAGTGATTTGGCAGTTGAGAAACATACATTATTCATAGATGGATAATTTGCATAGCCCCTTCCCCTCCACCCCCCCAACACCATTTTTAACAGAACTAGAATCCTGTTGAAAAGTAAAAAAACACAACCTGCACGCCACAGCTAATCGAAGGCTGTGCTCTGATGCGACTCCAACATGAACATGTACACACATACCGAAATTTGTATTTTTTTCGAGACATTTCTTTGTTCTCGTGTAGTAAAGTTTTCGAGTTTGAAAGTGAAGTTTCAAAATGCTCTTATTTTAACCAGAATTAATTTCCTTGGCTAAAATTTGGACTTAATATCCCTTTTCTAAAACTAAACTCTTCCATTTGCGACAGATCAACCCACCTTGGAAATTCCTAGTTTTTGAGTAAAATCCATATATCTATTTCGTGAAAATTTTGTGGAGACGCATTCATCTATAGAAATTGTCCTGTGGAGACGTATGCAATCTTTTGTTCCCTATTGTACACACGTCTCTAGAGGGCACGGTGTATCAGATCAGTATAGTGTATAGGCTGCACATGGGGGGGGGGGAAAGGAAGGATTCGCCCCCCCCAAAAAAAAAATATAGGCCATCAAGCGACGAAAAATTATGAAACTTAGTACTTGCATAGAACAACAATATCATGAACATACCCAAGAAATTTCATGACTATAGGTCAAAGGGTTTTGGAATTATGGCTAATTAATTATTCATATGCATGAATGGTAATTCTGCTTTGTGTACACTGTGAATTCAGTTTTCACAGCACATATAGCCGGAAAATGTTCTGCTGCGTGGCAACCCGTGGTCCGAATTTTATGTCTCTGGTATCAAAAGATGCACAAGATTGGAAGCTAAAAAGTCAGAACAGCTCGGGTTGAAAAAGATTTTTTTAATATGGATATCGCGAAAAAGTTGATTCCGCCCGCCTACATGCCCTTTTATGGTTAAAGAGAAGATACATCATTTGCAAATATCAAAACAAAAAATGATAACATTACCACGAAATTCTTTTACTGGACTGTTAGGGACTGACAGTCTGAAGCATCCTGTACAATCTTGGCTCCTGGTGTGCTGACATTTTTAAGTGAAGTGGTACTTTTGTATCAATTTCTAACGCTGGTCGGCTGACAAATGTTGGAGAAAACTGCCTTTTTTCAGAAACTGCTCCTAATTTTAAATATTGAGTTATTCTGCATTTTCTTTGCAATTGAAAACACACCTGTGAAGGGGTACAAGTAAGCTAGACTGATTCTCTGATCTTATAATTCCCCAACGTCTATAAATTGCTTTGTTTCATCCAAGTTGGGTCAGGGAACCAGACTACAAGAACATGATTGGTTTTCGTGGTTTTTCCAGCATCTACGAACCCAAAACGTGAAACAAGTCAGTGTAATAATGTTTGCCTTAACATACTATTCCTCCAAATCCATTTATTTATGAAAATAACAGCAAAAGCAAATCTTGTACGTACATTCCCTTTAAAGGGACACATTCCTTACCTTTGGCAAACTTGAAAAAAAGGGACCGATAAGAAACAAGACCAGCAGTACGATAACACTGGATATCAGGCCAGCAAGCTGCAAGAAAAACAAACATGGCGGTAAAAATTCAAAGACAACTGTTCCCTGGAAATACATATGCAATGTATTCCCTGCCTCAAAAATTGTAAACTTTTCCCGAGCACAAAAAAAAGAAGATTGACATGAAAGTTAACCTAGTTCCCCATCGGTATGATCTTGCTGCGCCATGTCAGTGCCCTTCATATCTTATGTGTTCTTAGCCGCTGAAATAAGCCTCTGTACTAATGAGTCACACTTTATTTATGTGTGTGCTTTCCTATGGTGCTCAGTGGACCGTGGACCCCAACTGGCTCCACAGCAAAGTGCACATGCAAACAAAGTGTGAAGTCATAAGTAGTACAGAGGCTTATTGTCAAATGTGTCACTATTTGGCACATTTAAATTAAGACTGCAGATGATGTGTTTAACACCCGACGAAGTGCTTAAACCTTTGAAACACATTTTTTTTCTTTGTGGAATCAATCATTTAAAACATGAGATTTCGACACTGCTCTAAAGAGCAAGGATTTCTATTAAATGTATGTATCTCTGTCGTCCCTTTACAACACAAGATACAGTTTTTTGGGGGACAAAAAAAGACGAGGCTTCCAGAATCCATACCATACAGGCGTCCTGCAGTCTTGTAAAAAAAGCGACAATACTACGAGTGCATATATAGGGTGTGCGGTCTTTGAAATACGCTCGCAAAAGCTCTGATTACATAACACCCAAGTAAATCCTTGTCATTTGATTGGAGAATTGTAGGTCACGCGGCATTCATTAATTGAACCATTGCACAGCTACGTCATATCCGTGCATTTTCATCCCATCTCTTTTGATCTATTGCACGCCAGGTGCACGCTAAGACGCGCAGTGTACAGGCCGGTGCTACACGATCCTTGCACTATATTTAGACCTTATCATGTGTTTTTGCGGTACAAAACTTGCCTTTGAAGCTGAAACAGTTACCTTGTTGATTTTTTGGCAGTATTTTAAGAACTACATGTAGAAATGTTAATTTTTCATTATTGTCAATGATTTGACTTTTAAACCTTGGTTACTCTTGAACAAGCTGAAAAAAAGAAGTTGACATGATACAATTTGGTGAGTTTTGTTTGTTCTTAAAGTTTTATCCTCCAATCGAATGACAAAATTTACATGGGTCATTCCACCGGGTTGGGGAACATATGACCAGTGTGACATATGACCATATTAAGAAAAGCATAAATGCCTTGCTAGCAGTTGCTCTACATAATATTTGTTGTTGGGTGTTTCACTACTGCAGAAAGTTTGAAATCATTTCAATGTATTTTACCAAAAATATGAGCAAAAAATGTCATTTTGGACGTAACATTGACACCATGTCAGTGTTACGTCCAAATATGACATTTGTACCTTTAATTTTAAATTTCTGCGAAACATCACCGAACTTCACTTTGCGTACTTCTTACTATACATGCAACACAATAAGAACAGCTTTTGTTACGGTAGTCAGGTATCAAATGGAGCAGAAATGATAGCTTGGTTGTGTGGATGTAACATTGACACGGTGTAAAACTCAATGTCACACTTCCATTGAGTGATTTTTACACCGTTACATCCACACTTGAGGTATTGTTTCTGCTATATTTGAACCCTGACCAAACCAAAACAAAAGCTTTTCTTTGTGCTTAGGTGTCCAGTTGTAAATATGCAATGTCAGTTTGGGTAATATTTTACATAGGTGTAAAAAATGGCAAAACAAAATAATTTTTGGATGTAACATTGACACGGTGTCAATGTTACGTCCAAATTAATACACTTTTGCTCATATTTTTGTCAAAGTACTTTCAAATGATTTCAAACTTTCTGAAATATTGAAACACCCTAAGACAAATATTGTGTTGAGCAATTGTTTAGAATGCATTGATACTTTTAATAATATAACCAAATATATGGATGTAACATGCACTGCTTCCCAACCCAGTTGCATGACCCATATAAAACAAATAATGAATGTTTAGCATTCGTGCAATGGTGAGAGTATTTTCATGAGTTGAGGGATGGAATGTTCCATTCAACTCGGCAAGTCTTTCAACTCATGAAAATATTCTAACCACTGCACTCATAAACATTCATTATTTGCATAATAGTCAATCAGTGTCGTTACATATTCCACACAGCAAGGGGTTGGTGAAGGGACGCGCACGCACCCATGGAGTTGAGGCTGGACGGTAAGTATGTGTCATAGAGCTATATTAAATTACTAGAGCGCTAACTTCGTGTATAAAGTAATGCCTGCTGGGCGCATCCATGTTTGTGCACAAACCTATGGAGACCTAGAAGTTTTGTACGGCTTTTGTACGGCTATTTACATATCTGCGTTTGTATTCCAAACCGGTGCGTCATCGAAGCCGATACGCCCAAAACCGAAATGCATGATAAGCAAATGAGCGTGTCATTTTGCTCTTTTTGCCGTAACGTTTTTTTTAACCGTCAATGACGCGCTTAAGTTGCTTGCGTGTGTTCTACTTGCGCGTTGCATGTAGAGTACACTTTCAAAATTCAGTCCATCTAATTTCATTATGTTCTACAAGCACGCACATGAATTGAAAATGTCTGCGCCCAGGACGGCTTCAAAGCGTCTCCGCACCTAGAATGAGGAGTTAGCGCTCTAGTAATTTAATACAGCTCTATGGTATGTGTACAATGTACATGTAGCTCGCAGTCAGTTTACCTGGGTTTTGCCGCCGGACACCTCTTGGACAAGTGAACGCGACAGGGAAGTGCCCACTGGGAAACAGTTGAAGAACGACGAGAAGATCTGGCACGTTCCAAAGGCAAGTAGTTCCTGCAGCACAGAAATCGGGGAAAAGGATGTGTGGACTAAATCGACGAACAAAATTAGAAGCCATTTTTGAGGTTGAACCATGTCCGCATGCATGCATATTAAAGACAAGACACGCGCATTTTGGTAACCCTATTGGTCAACCCTATGTGGCCTAGTGGCTAGGGTTTGTGACTCATGATCAGAGGGTCAGGGGTTCGAATCCAGCTGCTGACCACACATTGTGTCCTTGGGCAGGCCACTTCATCCCCATCTATAAATTGCCCGTGTAATCTTAAGTGGGGTCAGGGAGCCAGACTACAAGAACATGGTTGTTTTTCTTGGGTTCCCCAGCATGTAACAACTGATAATGTAGTAACCAACGGATTAAATCACCAACTGATAAAGTCGCATAAATTAACCGATACTGTATCACTAAGGGAATAAATGTGTGCTTGAGAGGTTTTTATCACTCTGTTTAAGACCGCTTAGAGTCTGGGTGCTGATAATTACCCGAGCCGGAGGCGAGGGTAATTATCAGCACCCAGACTCTAAGCAGTCTTAAACAGAGTGATAAATACCGACCGAGCACATATATTAATTCCCATTCATAAATACCTTTTCGGTAAAAAAAAATCAAATAATTCGTTCAAACAATCCCGGTTTTGTTCAACAAGTTTACTTAATGCTTTTTGAAACATCCCTCTAGCAAAATAATGAAGTGTTCAGCTGGCGAGTAAGATGTAAACAACCCTTTTATGGAGATTGATAGCATGATAGCATGTTCTGCGCGATGTCACGCAGAACGCACCTGGGGCGTTGCGTTTTGAATTTAGAACTATAAAATTCTGACTCGCTGGTAGTGTTGCGCATGCCTACGTGAGGATTGTGAACGTTCAACCAATAAAATGGTAAGAGGCACTGGATTTTTAGGAGTCCACATTTCATGTGACACTGGAAAAGTGTTTAAGACCAGCTAGCCATGTCTTTATCATCCGTTTAAGACCAGCCACGTGACGGGCTCTCGACCAATAGGAATAGCTAAACTATCTGAGGTATTTATGAATAACCGATAATGTAACAAAAATTGACCGATAGTGTAGTAACATTTCCTACACTATCAGTCAATTTTTTGTTACATTATTGGTTAGTGATACAGCATCAGTTCATTTTTGTGACATTGTGAAATTATCGGTTGGTGATACATGTACGTAATCTGTTGGTTACTACATTATCAATTGTAACACAGCATCTACGAACAGAAAACTTCAAACAAGTCAGTGTAACAATATAGTGCTATAAAATATACAACCTCCCCCCCCCCCCCAATCCATCCATTTCTGAAAATTACAGCAAAAGCAAATGTTGTATATTCCCTTTAAGCGAGGATTCCGTGCTTACATGTACATGCACAGAATTTCAAAGAAACTCACTGGCTACCTTTTATCAAACCATTGCTATGACGTCACACTATTGTTAAAAGTGTGGATTCGGATCTACGAATCTCTTACACTGGTCACAAAGTGTGGATTTGGAACGACTAATCTTTAGTAAAGTGTGGATTCGGAATTACGAATCCACACTTTGAACACGTCGGACAATTGTTCTCCATAATGAGCATGAATAGGACCGTCTGCGTGAAAATTTGCTTTCCGAAAATTACCAATGCATCTTCACTGTCAGATTCTCCGCCGTCACTGCAAAATCTACTCTTACATGTAGTCATAAAGAAATCGTCGTCTGAACTATCCATTTTGACGTAAGGAGCCTATACACACAAAATGACTTGGTTGTACGGGTGTACGTGTGGCATACACATGCTAAACACGCCAGGAAAAAATGTTGCAACCTGACGCCACTTCCGCGCTCGTGTACAAAGTCTATGGAGAGTCATTTCAAGTATTTCCTAACAAAATTAGAAACATTTCTCAGTCCCAGATTCATGTCTTATCATCATTTTTGCAACGAATGACCTTCATTGAGATGATATATGAAGGAAAAAGTGGCAGGTTGCAACATTCTTCTTTTCAATACTTCTGTTGACGCAATGGTTTAAGTCGAAGAATACACTCGCAAGTGAGGATTCTTAATTTACGAATTCACAATTCTTAAATTACAAATCCACACTTTCTTGTGTATTCTCCTTAACATACGAAATGGTTTTGGGGCGATTTGGTTGGTCCTCCGCCCTACTTTAAATTGGTGAGGCAACGCCCATGCTTGTGATGGACTTTTGAGGGATTGTAATGGACACAACTACATGTACAACACTAGTACTGCACCTGTACCTGGTTTGGGTCCACTTCGTATTTGTGTTTCTTGGCAAACATCTTGGCCAGGGAGATTGACACGGCATAGCCCACTATGGCAATGGCAATGGCATCAGTAATGACAGAACTCAGGTAGCTGAGCTGAGGCAGCCTAGGGGGAGGGATGCTGCAGAGAGGAATATAAATTTTGGAAAGTTAGCAATTGAACGCTATAGACTGTGTGAGCAATAGATGCACTCCCATAATCAAATGAAATTGATAATATACTGCAGTAGCTGGGCAAATATTCCACATTGGGGTACTTACTGAAGTGCATATGTGACCCACTCCAGGAAAAAATGATATAAGTCATAAAAAAATAAATTTCAAGTAATATACACGACTGGAAAGACATCAATGTAAGCTTTCATTTAGTATATGACACAGCTCTATATTAATTAGTTCCATGGAGTTCAAATTACACAACTGAGAAAACAGGCTTTGAAATAGCTGGCTCTGTTGTAGATTGGGGCAAGAAAAACTCACTTTTAATATCTTAATAACAAACGTGTTCCTGTTTTACCATCACTTTCAAACTTCGGATATTGATTCTACAACGATTATTTTCAATGATTTTTGGCAAAAAAGAGACTTTTTGAAACCAGATTACTATCTTTTGGCTAATTTGCATATTGATTAAAATTATAGTTTTTAGATGTAAAATAAAGAGAAAAATGTACACAAAATAAGGTTTTTTTCATCGAAATCAACATTTCTGTGAATGAATCCTTAAACTTTAGGTATCAAAGATGTCATTTAAGACAAAAAAAGGAATTTGGATTTTGATGGAAACTTTCACCCTCTCAACACTCAGCAGGCCATTACACGAAAAGGCATAAAGCGACTTATATTACCTTTTCATGGAGCAGGTCACATATGTACAAAAGCGCATGTGTACAATTTCACACTGGTCAAAAGCTTACAACACAGTCCTTTCATTGGCTCCGACGGCCACTGTGCAAAAACACGTGTAGTTTTTTTTTGTATCTCTTGGAGTTTACCTCAAAATCAAAGCTTCAAATATCTTGTAATGACCTCAGACTTTCAAGCAGACCCAGGTAAAAAAAAAGTAGAACAGTACGATCAAACTTAACTCTTTCGCTACTGAATTTAATTTCCCGATTTTTTTTCACGTTTGTACGTAACAAATCGCTGGAAATTCCGCCGTGTGTCGATGTGGACGCCGCAATCTTTAAATGTCTCTCTGTAAACAACCTGCTCAAAATAACCTGCAGCAGACCCCTTTGGCGCGACAGAGAGCTGCTGGCAGCGGCTCAAACGTGGGTCAGAGGTCATCATATAAATTATGTAAATAAGGCACACGTCATGGGGATACCCGAGCCGCTGCCAGCGGCTTGCCGTACGACATGTGCAGTTTTTGTACGCTGCTGCCAGCGGCTCGCCGTAGCGAAAGAGTTAGTTTTCGTTGATACTCACCCATGTACACAGCACCATAAGCCTCTTTCGCATGTTCTGTACTTACAACACTTGTGCAAACCTTTCATGATATGACATGCATGAGCCATATCTGAAATGTTGCGCAACTTTAAATCATGTATGCAATGAAATGTGACGCACGGCAAGTGCAGCTTTCAGTATCATGAAATGTGTGGTGTTCTGGCAGAGTGAAACGGAATTGGGCATGGGCTGTAGTGAAAAAAAAATGCCCCCCCCCCCCCACCCCGAAAAAAACCCCGACTTTTAGGCCAAAAAAAAAAAAAGTCTCCGGTTTCTGGTATGGAGCTTGCCCCAAAAGTGGTGCGGCGACGCGGCTTTTTTTTTTTTACCTGGTTTTTTTTTTTTGGCTTCAAATGTTGGCTGATGACTGCAAATGGTGCCCGACTAAACTTAGTGCAAATATATGGGAGTCCAGGGAGGCCACATGAACCTTATTCTCGATCATAACCCCATCTAAAAACACGTTAAAATTGTGCAGCAGCAGGATTCCGGTCAAACCAGTAAGTTTGGCGGTTTTGAGACATCATCTTGTATTGAAAAAAAAACTTTTTCATTTTGCCGACGCGCATGGCTACGGCGATGCGCGCGCATACCAGAAACCGGAGACTTTTTTTTTTTGGCCTTATTTATTCATAATGTGTAGACTTTGCTGTATATTTTAAAGAAATAGAATAAAAAATCATGAGGAAAGAAGTGTTTTTAGGGGTAAAAATAGGCATCTTTCATTTTCACGACTACAAAACTAGAAACTTTAAAGACCTTTTTCTCAGTATTTTACCTTTTTGACATGTTGATAAATGTGAAATTTATAAACAGCCATAACTTGCCAACGATTAGTCTAGATGTGCAACAAACGTTACTGTAAGGAGCATTTTAACTTTTATTCTCTTTCCTAAAATACCTGAAAACCCTCATTTTGACCTCTTTCCAGTTCTGTCTCATTTTGCCAGAACGCCCCAGAAATTTGCAAAATTTCTCAGGCTTCGGCCAACTTTTGGTTTACAAAACAAATGTATACGTGAATACAGTGCTCTAACTCAAACTCCCTTGGCATCTCTGTTCAGATGCAACATCAATCCTGCAAAATCCTTCAACTGCCTCCGTGTACAAATTGCATACAACCTCAATCCTGCAAAATCCTCTGTTATTTCTGGAATGTGGTCCCCGGAGAGGTGACCACTGCCTCAATCCTCCAGCAATCGCTGTCAACATGTTGAGGCAGAGCCAGTGACATCCTGGAGCAGTGCGGAGGATGTCAAGTATAATCTAAGCCTAAATTTATGCAAGGCTGAGCATAAACAACACGTGGTCCGGCCTAATTAGACCTGGACACAGTGCATCCTCCAAAATCAGCCTCACGTTTTTGCCATATACGGTAACCTCAATCCTGCAAAATCCTCCATTTTGCAAAGAGGATTTTGGAGGATTTGGGAAGGTTAGCGTTAATCGTACAATAGCTTAAGAACTAGAGATGCGAGCAGTGTTTTACCCCGTCGGGATGTCTCCCACCACGGCCACGCCGTAGTTATCAGCAAAATGTGCAGCAGATGAGATGGCCGTCCCTAGGATAATCTGAAAATGACAGATGGCGGGGTGGAAAACAGCAAAGCAATAGTGAAAAGTGATTGGCAAAAGGCAAGCAAAATGAGCAATAACATTAATGATTTGTTCAGATGTGACGTGCGCTGTCAAAAACAGTCTCTTCTGGGCACCGAGCTGGTCATAATAAGATTTTAAAAATATTGTTAAAAACTATGTATCACCTTTGGACAAATGGTTACATTTCTGTGGACCGACTGTCCTTGGCAAAATTGAGCCTATTTTAAATTGTGATGTGACAAATGTGAACATGGAGAAGATGCTGGTTACAATTTCATATGCATTTCTCAAGCCTCTACAAATATGATGCGACCAAGCTAAATGAGTCGTTTGTCGACCCTGGTCAATTTTTTTTTTTTACAGATTTGAAAAGAGCACAATCTTAGCATTACTGCTGTGAAAACCGCATGCGCGTACTATCTTGAGTTAAAAAAACTATGGAAGTCGGAAAACACCAAGAAATGTGATGAAGTGATGTGATAAAGTGGTCCTATTTCGGCCTGAATCTCCGAATGAAAATTCCCGACAAATGACTCATGTAGCCTGATCGCATCACAAATCATCAAAAAAATCACCTCTATTGGCAAAAATGGTCTTAAACTTTTACAGTACATTTTCGACATGTACTCAGAATCACACATTTGCAAACAAACCTGAACATTCCCCCCCCCCAATTTTTATTTTTTTTCTGGTCTTTTCAAGCTCTGGCCAGAGGTACCCGGTATCTGGTTTTGACAGAACACATAAAAATAGAAATGTGCGTATAAAGAGGTCAATTTGGGCTTTCTACCGGTATATACTTGTCTTGCATCTACATAAAGTCGCAAAATGGGAGTAACTTGTACCAACTGTAAAGGAACATTCAAATATGGCATGAAAGCAAGCAAAATATGCAAACATGAATTCATGTCGACCTGCCAACCCACATCAGCTGGAAGCATTTCAAAACTGGCAACTGTTGCTGTGATTGTTCTCCGTCAAATTTCTTTCCTTTTAATGAAGTGCGAACCGTCCTAGTGACAATAAGCGGATGTGTGTGAATCATGTTTGGGCGATTCTGGCGTTATGAAAGGAGGTGTACATTGTCTGTGACAGAGAGCCAATTAAACCATGATACCCCGGTATCTCAATAATGATTTATAGAAATGATCCGAAACTCCTAGTCTGTAATCTCCTTGACCCTTATTTGATGATGTATATGAAAGATTCGAAAAAAAACGCACTTACAGTTTCATTCACTGAGATTTAAAAAGTTCTGTGAGGGACACTACATAATGTTGGAATTGAATATTTTCAAAAGAAGGGAAAAGCCTGAAAAAAAAAACTCTGGGTGGAATTTCAAGGGTCATTGTAACCCAACTACAAACAGAATGCGTCACAAGTTGCCAGAGTTAATTTGGAGATCAGTAGGAACATCCAATCTATTTATCCACACACTATTATGTACATGTACATTCTTATATCAAACAGAGTGAAATGTTTTGGTACTCATACTCCTACTCATACTGATACTCGTACTCATGAGAATGTACTCCTTGTCAAACTTATACCTGCAAGAAAAAAATGACCTGTACTCATATTATATTCGTACGTGTACTAATCATACTCGTTGCAAAGTACCGGTACTCGTACTTATATTCATGACAAGGTACTCGTATTTGTACTCATGACAAGGTACTCATACTCATACTCACCACAAAGGTACTTGTACCCTTGACAAAATGCTCATACTTGTACCTATGACAAGTTACTCATACTCGTACTCATACTCATGACAAGGTACTTGTGCTCATTCTCATGACAAGGCATGTGCACTTGTACATGTACTCATGGTAAGGTACTCCTACTTGCACTCATGACAAGTTACTCATACTCGTACTCACGACAAGGTGCTAATACTCATACTCACTACAAGGTACACGTACTCATACTCACGACAAGGTACTCGTACTCATACTCACGACAAGGTACTCGTACTCATACTCACGACAAGGTACTCGTACTCATACTCACGACAAGGTACTCGTACTCATACTCACGACAAGGTACTCGTACTCATACTCACGACAAGGTACACGTACTCATACTCACGACAAGGTACTCGTACTCATACTCATGACAAGGTACTCGTACTCATACTCATGACAAGGTACTCGTACTCATACTCATGACAAGGTACACGTACTCATACTCATGACAAGGTACTCGTACTCATTCTCATGACAAGGTACTCGTACTCATTCTCATGACAAGGTACTCGTACTCATACTCATGACAAGGTACTCGTACTCATACTCATGACAAGGTACTCGTACTCATACTCATGACAAGGTACTCGTACTCATACTCATGACAAGGTACTCGTACTCATTCTCATGACAAGGTACTCGTACTCATACTCATGACAAGGTACTCGTACTCATACTCATGACAAGGTACTCGTACTCATTCTCATGACAAGGTACTCGTACTCATTCTCATGACAAGGTACTCGTACTCATACTCATGACAAGGTACTTGTATTTGTACTCCCGACAAGGTAGACATACTCATACTCATTTTAATGGATATGCACTCGATTACAACACTGCTGAGTGATATGTCAAAATGAAAAGCAGAGAATGTCTCTTTGCACTGCACGTGAAAAACTGAAAAAGGGAGTTTTTGTACTCAAGACTCATTTTGCGAGAACCTTACCACAACAAGCTCTGAGGGGATGGGGATCTTCTTCCTGGGTTCCCGCACCTGTTGTCTCACCCCGTCTACCACCCTGTGTGTCCCGCGGTGTTGGATGAAGTCCTGTATTGTGCTGACCGTCACCAAGAATGTGATGGTGATGGCTGATGTAATGATGGCAGTTACGTTGGCCTGCGACAGATTACTGAAGAATGCTACGTAACTCTGCAAATGTATTGAAGAGAAAAAAAGCATTTCTATCATTTTAACCATAACGAAGATGACATTTGAGCTTTGAGGTCAGAAATCGATAGCAAGCTGGGAAATACACTGGCAAGTATTGAATAACTGTAATTGTTGATTGAAAATACAAGAAAGTTGTAACAGTTTACTGAAGACCAAAAAAAAAGCTGTCAACCATATAACCAGTTCACATTATAGGACGTGATAACAAGCACTGGCTGTTTTTATACACAGGCACAACTGACGGGTTAAGACGTCAAGATTGCCTGGACTCGCCTTCGGGTGACGTCTTAACACGCTAATCCCTCGTGCCTTTTGTACATAAACACAAAGTCCGTGAAGTCTGTGCAGGCGGGCCATGTGTTGATCTTGAATCGGTCGTTGTGCACAGCCTATTGTTGATTGTTGTACAATTTACAAAATGTATGCTCCAGTGCACACCCCAGAGTATTGAAGCATATGAGGTTTCGGCAAAAACATCGTATAAATACTGTTGAAATTACTCTTGCAAATCAGAACTTTTTCGCAACAGCTCTCATTGGTTTTGTACACGTTTTCCAACCGAAGAGTCCTCGATTTGGTTTCTTTCCTCGATTCATCGATGATGTTGCACGTGTGTGTCCTCGATTAACACCATAAACATGCACGCAGTCATGTTTTACTATACGTCTGAGGACAACCTGTTGTGTTTCCCTTTGTCCCTGTACTTTAACACTTTTCCATAGACTAAGCACGTAACCGTACGATCAAGGACAGTTTGGAACAAAAGAACCGTCGTTCGAGGACTGAAAGGATCGTTTGTTCTCCCTTTGTGTGTCTGTCCTCGAGCGTAATACAAGACAGGAACACGCATACACGTTTGTTTGTTTTGCATACCTAGTGTGGACATTCCTTTGTTTTCGTGTAGTTAAGAAAACCTGGTGGAAAAAAAACTCATTTTACTCAAACTGTGAAAACTCTTTCAACCCAATTTTTTTCTGTGATTCCCTTTATTGTTTCTCTTCATTTTGCCATGGATAAACCAGGCTAACCCCAAAATGCCTCTAAATCTGTTTTCCAGAGAGGGGAAAACCTTGTGTGGACGTGGGCAAGTCCACACAACGTTGCTGCTACCTGGTTTATGTGGACATCTTTTGTTCAGAAGTCCACACAGTGAATGTAATGCTTGTACACCCAAACAGAAAGACACACTAAAGGAATCGCAATATCGCAATAACACGTTAAAGAGGTTGTGGAATGCTCGAAGACATTTCCGTCATTTTTCGGGTATATGTAGCCTAAGGTGTGATGAAATAAAAACGACTATTGTTTCAGTCATGAAATGAGTACAAAAGGTACTTTTGAGAGCTGTTATTCAGGTCCAGTTTCGACCCGAACGTGCAACTGTGTAAAAGTCGTCGTTGCGGGCAGCAAACAAACACAGTAAATCGTGACGTAATAAACAGGACTCGTGTATGCTACTGTGCATCGGGAGTCCTGTTTATTACGTCACGATTTACTGTGTTTTGTTTGCTGCCCGCAACGACGACATTTACACAGTTGCACGTTCGAGTCGAAACTGGACCTGAAAAACAGCTCTCAAAAGTACCTTTTGTACTCATTTCATGACAGAAACAATAGTCGTTGTTATTTCATCACACCTTAGGCTACATATACCCGAAAAATGACGGAAATGTCTTCGAGCATTCCACATCCTCTTTAAATGCCATGTATGTTTACAGAATTACCAGTAACCAATTTAAAACTGTTTTCCCATTAAAGTTATTACAAATTTGACACCGCGATATTTCCACGAACCTTAACCAGGGAGAAAAAGCCAGTCGACCTTTTGACACTGACCCCAAACAAGTGTCTGAACTGACTGGTGAAGACGTGGACCGCAGCACCGGTGGTGAAACCTCGGACTAGTGGCTCCGACAGGTAGATGGTGACAAAGCCCAGCCTGAATAAGGCCATAAGGAGCTGTGCATAATGGTTAAAACCAGAAGTGAGATTCAACTACATGTTCAAACTGAGTCAGGAAACTACATACACCTGTACACGTTCTGGTCAGTCTGTTCCGATGTAAAAATGATTTCTTCCACTTCATAAGAAACAGTAAGAAATACTCATTTGCAGCACAAATCAAATGTGAAAAACAAAAAACATTAAAAGCAATGAATTCAATACACAGAAGAGAGAAAGATCTTTTTCCGTCTAAGGCCAAAAAAAATAAGTCTCCGGTTTCTGGTATGCGCGCACGTCACATTAGCCATGAGCGTCCGCAAAATGAAAAAGTTTTTTTTTCAATAAAAGATGATGTCTCAAAACCGCCAAACTCACTGGTTTGACTGGAATCCTGCTGCTGCACAATTTTAACGTATTTTTAGATGGGGTTATGATCGAGAATAAGCTTTACATGTATGTGGCCTCTCTGGACTATCATATATTTTCACTAAGTTTAGTCGGGCACCAATTGCAGTCCTCAGCCGGGAAATTGCACCAAGGCAAATGATCGAGAGCACCAAGGCAAATTATGGAGGACACCAATGTACATGAGGACACCAAAAAAGCAAAATAGTACCCCACCTTGTCTGTACAATCCAAGCTTGAAGAAAGAAAAAAAAAAGCCAAAAAAAAAAAAAAAGCTGCGTCCCCGCGTCAATTCCCGAACTTTGGTCTGACCAGAGACCGAATATTTTTTTTTTGGCCTAAACGTCATCACATCTTTATTTCAGTCCAGTCCATTGGCCTGTCCAAAGAACTTATATTGGCATCCAGATACTCACTGAATTATTTAATAATATCACTATTTCAGAACAATGCTGTGATGACAATGTATCAGTGTTTCTATGCCCCTTTTGATCTTGAAAAGCAATGACTAATTGTTGTGAAATTTGACATGCCAACTGGACTCTAATATGTACAGCGCGTCCCGAAATCCAGCAACATTTTTTACGAGGCTCTGGCGTCACCGCGGAAACACGTATCGCCATTATTTTGATTTCATTTTAAAGCTTGGAATCTTAACGTTATCCCTGGTAAGTATTGGCTTGATTTTCAAAAGGGTTTTGAAATGATTCGTGTTCAAATAAAGGCATGTCGAAAACAAGCTCAACCGATTTCTTGGAAAGTCAATCGTACGCATTTTTTCTAATGTGGATATGCTTCATCATATTCATGATGTGACTATCTTGTTGCCTTTTACTTTCTGTGTTTCCTTTTCTTTTCGATCCACGTTGACTACGCCTTAAATAAATTCACAAAATTGTTCTTCGTTTCAAGTTCAACATGTTTTTAATATAAATCAACTGATTTTATTTATTTATTTTTATCTCAACAGCTTGTTAACTCGAGTTTGCATCTGATGTACCGCATCATAGATTCTCCTTGAAATCGGTGTGAGTTTTTATGCATCTATTTGATCACGAATAAATAAAAAGTCTTTTAAATATCAAACCAATACTCGCCAGGGATAAAGTTAAAATTCCAAGCTTTAAAGTGGTATACAAATAATGGCCGTACGTGTTTCCACGCCAACGCTAGATCCTTGTCGCTAAAAAAGTTGTGGGTAGTTTGGGATGCACTGTAGTACATAATGCCAAGTTTTGCTTAATGTGTACATGTACATGCATGCACTCACTGGTTGGTGCCCTAATTATCCTCCGCAAAGGAATGCACCTTAATTAACCCTTGTCCCCTAGTACTTCCTCAGGACTACCCTGCTAAATCCAACAGAGTCCAACCGGAGTGTCCTGCTCAATCCACTGTGCCATATTTTCAATTATTTGCTAAATCCAACGGAGTCCAACTTGGCGTTATAATGCGGTTCACTTGCCTGCTGAATCCAACATTTTACATCAGGAATGTACACAAGCATGACAAGGGGTTTACTGCGCCATCCAACAGGCTCCATTGGGTATACAGGGTTTGACCTTCACTTTTTTATTCATTAGCCAGCCTGGCTACTGAAACAGCCTCTTAACTAGCCCGCGGGCATTTTCACTAGCCCATATTTTATTTTTGTTGCTCAAATACAAAATGGCGCATTTTCAGGCTCAATTCGGAGGGAATTTTGTTAGTGTTTTTAATAGACAGATCTAATAATTTTTAAAAACAGTTGAAAAAACTTGACACAAATTGATGAGGTTTACTTCCTGAATTAATGATTTATTTCTTCCTGTCCTTTCATCTTTGCCGTGTCCCAATAATATTTTGACTCGCCAGCCCGGCTACTTAGGGAATAGTTTGACTAGCCCGCCGCTGTTTTGACTAGCATTTGGCTAGTGGGATACCGCTAATTTCGAACCCTGGTATATGACATAGTTGGATCCTATTGGATTCAGCAGGGTTAGGGTTAATAGCGCTGTCCTTGTCCCAATGTGAAGTACTACACAATTTTGATCACAAGTCAAGTCACGAATAATAGAGGATGAACACTAACAAAGAAATGTCATAGTTCACTTGAGAACCTCGCGAGTTGACTTGGGACCGGAGGACTTGTCTTGGACTTATCTTGGGAGCCACCACAAGTACCATGACTAGATTGCTTTGTCCTCTCTATTTTTCACCAGAGGTGTTCCGCATATAAAGGTTAATGGGTCATTCCACCGGGTTGGGAAACAGTGCATGTTAGATCCAAATATTTGGTTATATTATTAAACATTTCAATGCATTCTAAACAATTGCTCAACATATTATTTGTCTTAGGGTGTTTCAATACTTGAGAAAGTTCGAAATCAATTGAATGTACTTGGTCAAAAATATGAGCAAAATTGTATTAATTCGGATGTAACATTGACACCATGTCAATGTTACATCCAAATATTCTTTTTTTGCCATATTTTACATGTACATGTATGTACAACATTACCCAATCTGACATTGCATATTTATAACTGGACACCTAATGCACCAAGAAAAGCTTTTGTTTTGGTATAGTCAGGGTTCAAATATAGCAGAAACAATACCTTAATGTGGATGTAACGGTGTAAAAATCACTCAATGGAAGTGTGACATTTGGGGTTGACACAGTGTCAATGTTACGTCCACAACCAAGCTATCATTTCTGCTCAATTTGATACCTGACTTCCATAACAAAAGCTTTTCTTATTATAGTAAAAAGTACATAAAGTGAATTTAAGTAAAGATTCACAGAAATTTAAAAAAAGGTACACATGTCATATTTTGGACGTAACATTGACATGGTGTCAATGTTACGTCCGAAATGACATTTTTGCTCATATTTTTGGCAAAATGCATTGAAATTATTAAAAACTTTCTGCAGTAGTAAAACACCCCCAAAAATATTACGGACAGCAACCTCTAGCTAGGCACTCATGCTTTTACATAATATGGTCATATGTCACACATTTTTCCCTAACATGGTGGAATGACCCTAATCTGTTTGTATCTTACATGTATTTACCTGGACAATCCCTACTGCCACAGCTAACGCTGACGCCACATAGACCCTCTGTAGGTCACTGTCCTCGTCTGTCTGCTCAATAGCTGATGATGCAGCATTGCTTGGGTCGCTCAGTACCCGGTCCACTGCATTGCCCGTCATGATACACACCACAGCAAATGTTCCTGCAAACATTAAATAAACAACTCTGCTTAAGTCTCATAGTGCTTTTATACTGCAATACAATACAAAAATAGGGGGGAGTGTGTGGCCTAGAGGTTAGGGTTCGTGACTCATAATCAGAGGGTCCGGGGTCCGAATCCAGCTGCTGGTCATGTATTGTGTCCTTGGGCAAGGCACTTCACCCCCACTTGCCCCTCTCCACCCAGGAGTATAAGTGGGTACCGGCATTAGCTGGGGAGTAACCTGCGATGGACTAGCATCCCATCCAGGGGGAGTAGAAATATTCTCAGTCGTTTCATGCCACTGAAACCGGAGATAAATGCCGGCCTGATGAGCCACATTGGCTCGCGACAGACTTTACTTTACTTTACAATACAAAAGGATTTTCTGTCCCCTTCCTTATTTTAAATACGGTGGAACATCGCTATACAGTGGAACGTCGCTATACCGAACACCGCTATACCGAACATTCGGCTATACTGAACATCATCCTTGGCTCCTGATTTTTGTGTACAAAACCAACCGAACATTGTTGTTGAAAACCGTCAACAGAAGAGCGAAAGTGGCTATTATTTCCCCAGGGCATAGAAGGGGAAAGCCACCCATCGATGTAGGTAGTAAGCTCAAAACTGTGAAATTACATAATTCAATAGTCGGCACGTGTTCGAATGAAGTTGTCTTTCAGTAACTACCAGGGCGTGCAGGGTGAAGTTATGAAGGGTGCTATTTATTGAAAAGTGAGTACCGGAGCATCGGCAGCTTAAAATCGCTATACCAAACTATCGCTGTTACGAACATTTTCTGTGGATCCCGCGATGTTTGTTATACAATGTTATAGCGGCATTCCACTGTACCAAACATTCTGCTATACCGAACATCAGCCTTGGCTCCTGATTTAACAGTATAATGGAAAATGTCAACAGAAGAGCAACAAATGCATGGCTAGTATTGTTTCAGTTATTTTCTTGACGTGTCCGTTAACCCTAACCCACCTCACTCCTCCCAAATCCTCCTGGCGGTTTTGGAGGATTCTAGAGGATTGAGGATGAATGGTGATTGAATCAAATGAGGATTCTGGAGGATTGAGAATGAATGGTGATTGAAGCACATGAGGATTTTGGAGGATTGAGGATGAATGGTGATTGAAGCACAAGAGGATTTTGGAGGATTGAGGATGAATGCATTTTGAGGCAGGACTGTCTGATGATCTTGAAGGATTTGGCGTTGGTTATCCTTCATTTAAACACGAGTGCAAAGTTTTGGGCTGAGGAGGATTTTGGAGGATTGAGGATTAATGCATTTTGAGGCAGGACTGTCTGACAATTTTGAAAAATTTAGGCGGAGTTGCAAAATTTTGGAGGATTTTGGAGGATTGAGGATGGTTGTAAGCAACAAGGGCCTAGGGGGTTAGGGTTAAGGTTTGTACAGGAAAACTTCCCAAGGACTTGGCTCGGGTCCTTGGGGTTATTGTAATCACAGAAAACCCATTGTACGGCTATGCGGAATATACAATGTACCAAATACATGTACTCGAATATTCAATCATCAACCGAATAATCAAATACCTTCGTGCCGGTTTGAATATTTGAAAACAAAGCAAAATACGCACATACGCACGACTGTGATGTTATTTTGACCGTAAAGTTGCAGGGCTTTATTGTCAGGTGCCACTTTTTGTCGCCGATAACTTTTTTGTCGACGCCGATTTATTGTTCCCCTCTTTTTAGCAGGGTAAAGCCCTTTGTAGTCGTATAATACTTAGTGCAAAACACTCCAGCGCCCTACATCGATTGCCAAATGCAGATTTGAACTGGCGTGCTCTGTGCGCAACTTTTGACCGCCGCAGCAGGCAGATGCAGCTGGCAATTTTGAATATCCAAATATTCGGTCAAACGCAGTTTCGAGTAATCGAATATCAAATAATTTGAAAATGGACAGCCCTAACCCATTGTCTCTAGTCTAGAGTTTAAAGGGAATGTACATTTGCTTTTGTTGTAATTTTCAGAAATAAATGGATTTGGAGGATTAGTATGTTTATAATGATTTGTTTCACGTTTTGGGCTTGGAGATGCTGGGAAAAAAAACAAGAAAACCAACAATATTCTTGCAGTCTAGCTCCCTGACCCCACTTAAGATGAAACGGAGTAATTTATAGACTTTGGGGAATTGTATGGTCAGAGAATCAGTCTAGCTGGCTTGTACCCCTTCACAGGTGTGTAATCAATTGCAAAGAAACTGCGGAATAACTAATTATGGAAAAATAAGGGACAGTTTTTGAAATATAGCCAGTTTTCTCCAACGCTGGTCAGCCGACCAGCTTTGGAAAAATACAATTTTTCTTGAAAATGTCAGCACACCAGGAGCAACCATTTCACAGGATGTACTTTAGACTGTCATTCCCTAGCAATCAAGTAAGGTATTTTGTGATAATTTGATCATTTCGTTTGTGATATTTGCAAATGTTGTATCTTCCCTTTAAAGGGAAAATACAACATTTGCAAACATCAAAAAATAAAACACCAAATCATTTTGAAATATTTTGCTGGACTGTTAGTGAATGACAGTGTAAAGCATCCTGTAAAATCATGGCACCTGGTATAATGTCATTTTCAAGAAAAGTGGTATTTTTGTATCAAAACTGGCTTTTTTTTCAAATACTGGCCCCAATTGACCATCGCACTTGTTTGCAATTGATTACAAACCTATGAACGGGTACGAGCCAGCTAGACTGGTTCCCTGACCTTACAAATCCCCAATGTATGTAAACTGCTCTGTTTCTTCTTATATGGAGTCAGGGAACCAGACTACAGGAAAATGATTGTTTTTCTTGGATTTTATAGCATTTTCGAACCCAAAACCTCAAAAAAAAAGTGTAACCATATTTGCTATATATTTCCAACCCCCCAATTCCATCCATTTCTGAAAATTACAGTAAAAGCAAAGGATGTATATTCCCTTTAAGTAAGGAACAGCTTTCATTTTGCAAATTACTGAAGAACTTACCGGCGGATATGTGGTGTGACGTTCCCATAATGCTGTAAATTATCACCGCGAAGAAAGCCACATACAGACCGTAGACAGGCGGCAACGAGGCCAGGAGGGCATAGGCCATAGCTGTACCAGAAATAATCATTCAGATAATGGGATAAAGAGAAACAAGTAAATGATTAACACTGTTGTAGAAATGTTAGGACCCTTTTGAGGGGCAAAAAATGTTCTGCTGCCATTTCAACGGAAATTCTCTTCTTGCACCTATTCATAAACAGTCGACTCTCATTAATATAAATAACAGAAGTTGTGGTTATAGCAAACATGAAGCCTTGGTCCCGACTGAGCATATACACACTGTGTGCACACCGAATGGAATCAGTGCTCCTCATAACCCTAACCGCCCTGAATCCTTCAAAATCCTAAGTTGCCAAAGTGGAGGAATTTGGAGGATTGAGGTTACATGGTAAAAGTGTGCTACTGATTTCGTAGGATGCACTTTGTCAAGGTCTTGGGCCGGACCTTGTCTTGTTTTTGCTAAGCCGTGCATAAATATAGGCCTGGATTATGTTTGAAATCCTCTGTACTGCTCCATGATGTCACTGGCCAAGCCTCAGCATATTGACAGTCACTGTCGCAGGATTTTGCAGGATTCAGGCAGCGGTCACCCCTCCGCGGACCATATTCAAGAAATAATGGAGGAATTTGCAGGATTCAGGCTATATGCTATTTTTCCATGAGGCCAATTGGAGGATTTTGCAGGATTGAGGCTACATCCTAGCAAAAAAGGCCTAGGGAGTTAGGTGTTAACCCTAAAAACCCTGTTCAATCCAACAGGATCCAAATATTTTACACATATCCATTGGTCCCTGTTGGATTGATCAGTCACATCCACCAGAATCCATTAAAATTAAAATCCACCAGAAATTTAGGTGATGGATTTTGAAGACTCTATTGAGAAACATACTGTACCTATTCTATGCCCGCATGGTGTCCTGAATCCATCAGAATCCATCAGACTTTTGCTGGTGATTTTGACAGATTCAGGATACATCCAGAAGGCCTATCTACAAAATATCCAAGGGGTTAAATACGGTACCTTGGGGAATCCTGAGTGTTCCCACAGTCAAACCACAGATGACGTCGCTCAGCAAGTTACGGCGAACCTCATAGGCCGGCAGCCACTTCAGGATGGGAAACCGACCAATCAGGCACCTCTTGACTCCCTGCAGGGTGCATCGCTGCCGGCTTACAAACTTCCGTAGCCGGGCAGAGAAGGACTGGTCCAAGTCCATCTGCTCGTAACCTTCCTGGAATGCCTGCTCCGTGTAAACCGGGCGCGAGACTTTCATGTTCATGGGCTTGTGCCTTCGCCGGCGTGCATGGTTGGTTTCGTTGCCTTCGTCAGTGGCCATTGTTTGCTAGTTTTGTTCTGGACTACCTGAACAATTGAATAGAAAGTTCAAAAGTGTGAAAAATACTATTAGTTTATAAGGCTCAACTTTTTTATTGCATGGGGCTGATGATATTAACCTATTAGCACCTAAATGTACATTGGATTACATTAAATATATTCCCTGATACATCAATAAAACCATACATGTACAGTGCTCGGGCAGTTTTGGGCATCGCAGTTAGTCACAGCAGGGTGGTTTGGGGCACTACAGGGACTAATTCATCATAGACACTACCGACTACCATTACCGACTGGAGGTTGACGAAGTGATTGTTGTAAAGGCTGAAGCAACTCTGCTTTTGTTTCATGACTTGAGTTTAATTATGCTTCTTTTTTTAGGGGGGAGTTATTTTCTGGTGATGGGAGAACCGTCCCACCTTAAAAAAAAAAATCCCTTTTTGACCACATAGTTCCTAAGGCCAGTAAAACACTGTATATGCTGTATCAGCTGAAACGTGCAGGTGTGTATCAAGCTGACCTACTAAAAATTTACTTGTCAGTGGTAAGACCAGTCCTAGAATATGCCTGCCAAGTATGGCACAGCAGCTTGCCTAACTACACTTGTCCAGCAAGATAGAAATGATACAGAAGAGAGCCATACGGTGTATACATCCACTTTATCCAGGTCAGAGTTATAACCCTACATTAGATTCTCTCGGCATCCAATTGCTGCATGAAAAACATAATGAATTGTACATGGCTTTTGAATACACCCAAGGTGGAGACGGCTGAAAAGTCAGTTGTTTAGAATGTGTACGTTTCAGCCATCTCCACCTTGGGTGTATTCAAAGCCCATACTGTCTTACGGCACAGATCGGAGCATGTATCATTACATGAAACAGTCTTTGATAAAGCGTGACTTGTTTTTCTTCGGTCGACGACGGTGACGTCACACACATGCCCTCAACAGAAGAGTTGTGAAAAGAACTGAGCAACTCGGCAAACCCTTCATAAGTTTCAGACTACATTGTAGTTTGCTCTTTTTTCAAAATTACTACTTGTTGGGAACAATTTAAGGGGTCTTTACATGTATATTAAATGCTATGAATGTGTAGATCAATACAGGGTTACCATCTTTCTCATTTGTATTCTCTATACTGTTTTTCGGGAGGGCCATTTGTACCTAGCGTGGGTATGTACAAAATGCTACCGTGCACCAGTCACCAAAGTATGCCTAATCGGTGGAGTGCTTGTACGGAGGGTACCGTAGTTTTAGCGGCCGTCTCAGTATCTACATGTAGTCTGTCTGATGCTAGCCATGGGCTAGTCTGGTTCTAGCCCCATAAATGTGGCCTATTTACTGGACTGCCTCCGTAAACATAGGCCACACATCCACATGTACAAAACGTGTCGCACTTTGCCAAATTTTGATTTTCACATTTATGCTTACTTTGTAGGTTTTTTTTGCTTAACAAGCATTCTCACCCTCTTTAAAGGCTAATCAGAAAGTGCTGCCTTTTTCAGATGTCTAATTTTTGTGAAATTGCATGTTGAAATTTTGATACGCAAACGTGTGCAAATGTATCTGGAAATTTCACGAAAAATGGACATCTGAAAAAGGCAGCACTTTCTGATTAGCCTATAAAGAGGGCGAGTATGCTTCTATTTAAGCAAAAAAAACCTACAAACTAAGCCTAAATGTGAAAATCAAAATTTGGCAAAGTGCGACACGTTTTTGTACATGTGGATGTGTGGCCTATGTTTTACGGAGGCAGTCCAGTAAATAGGCCACATTTATGGGGCTAGTCTGGTTCCTGTTCCCCATTGTCCTTCTGTCCCCAATATTCTTTAGGAGGTCCAGGAAATAGTCTAGCCAGACCCCGTGCAAAAATTTTTCCTGAATTCAAAATGGTATTGGTATAGCCTCAAATATGGCGAGTCAGATGTCTATTTTTTGTGACATTTCCAGATTCATTTGCACACGTTTGCGTATCAAAATTTCAACATGAAATTTCACAAAAATTAGACATCTGAAAAAGGCAGCACTTTCTGATTACATGTAGCCTATAAGAGGGTGTGTATGCTTAAAGCAAAAAAAAATACAAACCAAGGCCAAAAAAAAAAGTCTCCGGTTTCTGGTATGGAGCTTGCCCAAAAAGTGGTGGGGCGACGCGGCTTTTTTTTTTTTTTACCTGTTTTTTTTTTTTGGCTTCAAATGTCGGCTGATGACTGCAAATGGTGCCCGACTAAACTTAGTGCAAATATATGGGAGTCCAGAGAGGCCACATAAAGCTTATTCTCGATCATAACCCCATCTAAAAACACGTTAGAATTGTGCAGCAGCAGGATTCCAGTCAAACCAGTGAGTTTGGCGGTTTTGAGACATCATCTTGTATTGAAAAAAAAACTTTTTCATTTTGCCGACGCGCGCGCATACCAGAAACCGGAGACTTTTTTTTTTTGGCCTAAGCCTCTAACTTCTAAGGCATGTGAAAATCAAAATTTGACAAAGTTCGACACATTTTTGTACATGTGGAACTGGAAGTGTGGCCTATGTTCACGGAGGTAGTCCAGTATATTGGCCACATTTATGGGGCTAGGACTCTACTATCGCCCGACCATGTCCAAATGTTAAAAAAGAGATCCGTAAGAGTCCTACGACTCCTAGTCATGCTAGTTACTCGGACTAATCAACAACATAGCCTAGGCTTAGCCCCACTAGTGTGGCCGCGGTATGCTGCGCTGAACCTCTGGCCACACACCGTGGTACCGCGCACTACTGAGGGCGTTTTCATAAAATTTACAGGCACTTTCTTACATATGGTTGTATTCTATGATGTCCCATCTATCACTTCTGGGATGCTTAGGTGTAATGATGTTCAATTTTCCGAGATATTCTTGAATCTTTCTGGAGCCCATATGCACTCGTGAAACGTCTGGTGATGGCAGCCATTTTGAATGTGACAAGAGATGACCTCAAGCTGTGACGTCGCATTTATGCAAATTGCTTGTTGAGCGAGGGCGCGAGTTGCAAATGCGACGGCTGTTTCCTGTGTCGCGCGCGTCGTCCAAGCCGTTGACATCAATGCCCGTGCAGCGCATGCGCAGGGTATTATTTTCATTTTTAATTGGATCAGGAAACAGCCGTCGCATTTGCAACTCGCGCCCTCGCTCGACAAGCAATTTGCATAAACACGACGTCACAGCTTGAGGTAATCTCTTGTCACATTCAAAATGGCTGCCATCACCAGACGTTTCACGAGTGTACTCCTAGAACTATGAGGCTCCACGTATCACGAGTGCATATATGGGCTCCAGAAAGATTCAAGAATATCTCGCCGGAAAATTGAACATCATTACACCTAAGTAGCTACCTACTGTTTCATGCACTATCGGTTGCAGTTCCAGTACCGCAACTGTGATGCGAGTGGTAAACCTCATATTAGTGCATGAAACAGTCATTGGAAGTTACGCTTCTGCGTGACGTCATGCGCCAACAGCCAGCGCAGCTGGCAAAAACGACTAGTTGACAGCTCGCTGTGCCTGGTAATCGACCGCCATTCATTGTACACAATTTTTTTTGTGCACAAACCAATTGCGGTCCTGGCCATGCCTGCAAGGTTGTCGGGTTAGCGGTTATTCCTCCTTTTTTCACTGCAATTGTAGGCTGAATCTTCATCGTGGATCGTTTTTTACTTCAAGGATCTGTGTAATGGTTATTCCAGGCAAGTTTGGGGTGAGTTGCAGTTGCAATTAGTGTGTAACGGGGACGCAATTTTTTTTGGGACCTGCCTACGCTGCTCGGTCACGTGAAATACTAGCTCCAGCCCTAGTAAATGACAACCCAATGATAACATTTAGGGCTGGGTAACTCCAGCTAACACCTAAGCATCCCAGAAGTGATAGATGGGACATCATAGAATACAATGTAAGAAACTGCCTGTAAATTTTATGAAAACGCCCTCAGTAGTGCGCGGTACCACGGTGTGTGGCCAGTGGTTCAGCGCAGCATACCACGGCCACACTAGTGGGGCTGTTGTGCCCATTCTTGAAAATCACGCAATCTTAAGAATGTGCGCGCATTTTTAAGAATGAGCGCCCATTCTTAAGAACGAGCACGCGTTCTTAAGAATGAGTGCTCATTCTTAAGATTGGGTGGGAATCTCACGTGCACAATTTATGAATTTTGCCCAATCTTAACAAACATTGCACGACATAATTATGCTAAATGAAATGTATAGCGGTTAAAAGGGAAACAATTTATATAAAGAGGAAAGAAAATGTTCTATGCTTTTGTACTCGTATAGAGCTCTACGATAATTTGAATCAAATTAAACCTGTTATTATTGCTTTTTTCTGCCCACTATGGGAAGTTTTGTAATAACGGAGGACTGGGAACTAGTCTGGGAAGTGCTTTGTTTAGGCTAGACAAGTTACAAGTCCCTGTATGTATCATATGCATGTCACGAAAAAAAACCCGATGTCCAGAAGCTGCCAAAATTGCTCTTTTGACTAGATAGAATCCAGCTCTGCGACGTAATGGTGGGGTGTGAACAATAAATTGGTGGCAATTTAAAGGGGAAATAGCATTAGCACTATGGGATGTCGCAGTATTCATTCTCATTCTTCACATTCTTCATTCTTACGTTCCCCCCCCCCCCCCACTTTTATTATCCCAAAAATCAGAATTCTTTCCACTAGTATTAACTATTATTATGTCTCTTATTTTTTCCCGGTCCCACCCCCCATATCAATACGCCTATACTTATCATATCCACTCTACTTTTCAGGGCCTTGCGTTGCAACAGTATAATTATTAAGAATTAGTGAACGAGGATGCAGCTAGACTTGCCAAGCGCAGCCGGTGCTCGGCATCGACAAGACCGTTATCTTGTCGCGCATTCTTAAGAATGTGCGCTCAATCTGGAAGAGTTATTTTTTGCGAAGATTGCGCAAGGATCCAGTTGCACATTCTTAAGAATGTGCATGCACATTCTTAAGAATGCGTGATTTTCAAGAATGGGCACAACAGCGCTAAGCCTAGGCTACACTAGCTGGAGTTACCCAGCCCTGAGTTTTATCATTGGGTTGTCTATTAATAACCCTTACTCTCTGAGGGTAGTTTACTGCATGTCAGTTGGTTATGCCAATGCCCTCCAGCTGCAGTTATTTGGCAGATAACAAGTCTTAGCAGTGAAGGCTCCAATTGGCAGGAGTTGGAGGCCCTGGAGGGTGCCTGATACTGACCAGCTGGGGGCACTCACTTTGTTATCAGAGGACTCTCATTGTTCTCTGTGGCATGTATTGGAGTGCCTGTCCAGTTACCCTTGAAATGACATGGCAGATATTGGAGGGCCATGCAAAAAACATAGGAGATTTTCTTGAGGCACATATTGGCATGCGTTGGAGGGTCAAGTAGGGTAAGGGTTAAGGCTGGAGTAGTCCGAGTAACTTGGACCTAACTTATCGCCTTTTCAGACCATGTCCGAATGTTAAAAAAAGGCGATAAGTTAGGTCCAAGTTACTCGGACTAAGGCTGGAGCTAGTTTTTCTCGTAACTTGTAGTATAGGCAAACATTTTTGGAAAATGTTCAATTTTGTCCCCGTTACACACTAATTGCAACTGCAACTCACCCCAAACTTGCCTGGAATAACCATTACACAGGTCCTTGAACATGTTGAAGTAAAAAACGATCCACGATGAAGATTCAGCCTACAATTGCAGTGAAAACAGGAGGAATAACCGCTAACCTGACAACCTTGCTGGCATGGCCAGGACCGCAATTGGTTTGTGCACAAAAAAAAATTGTGTACAATGAATGGCGGTCGATTACCATGCACGTACAGCTCGCAGGTACTCGGCGTTTTTGCGGTCGGTGCATGACGTGACGCGGAAGCGTAATACCCGATGACTGTTTCATGCATTAATAAGAGGTTCACTCGCATCACAGTGCGGTACTGGAACGGCAACCGTCGAGTTGGCCAGCTATCGTGCATTCATAGTGCAGTGTTACTTGACGGTTGCCGTTCCAGTACCGCACTGTGATACGAGTGAACCTCTTATTAATGCATGAAACAGTCATCGGGTATTACACTTCAGCATTACGTCATGCAAAAATTTTTTGCCTATACTACAAGTTATGAGAAAAACTAGCTCCAGCCCTAATAGACAACCCAATGATAAAACTCAGGGCTGGGTAACTCCAGCTAAGGCTACACAATGATTTACAACGACTGTGAACGTGGCTAGCTAAACGCCACGTTAACAACGACCAAGACAACTGACTTGGATTTTTGGTGCAGCCACTGTATACAGTGTATTTTACCGTCTGGTACTTCTTGACATACTTACGTTTAATTCACAAAAAGTATACGGGTTGAATCGATCCCGATGGTGCAAAAAATGATGGGAAAAAAATCCCCTTTTCCGCATATATGCGGTCCGAATAACATCCAGACATCGCCGTCTGTCATCATTTGGTGTCGACTGAGGGCGCTTTAAATGTAGTCAGGGGGCGTGTCTATGAGTCGAGTACACCATGTGGAGCTGAGCTAGCTACGCGTGGTGGCCGAGGTGAATCCCGGAGACATACCGTTATTTCGTTTTACCGTTTTGCATTTCCTCAAAACAAAAACAGTAAACGGACCATTGACCGTTTTGTCGTTTTACAGTTTTGTAAAACGGGTCAAACGGTATTAAGTCACAAAAAACAATTACCTTTTTATTGTTTTTGTAAATTGGTTAAAAGCGATAAACGGTTAGTTGCTTTATTTTTAGAGTGTTGTTTACTAAAACATGACAATGCCAAAACGGTCAATAGTCTTGTCGACAATGCAATCTTATAGCAATGCACCTTGGAATGTTAATGTGTCCTTGGGAGGGTCACTGCCTGTGAAATTGCCCTCCTTACATTTATGTCGTTCTAGTTCTCACGACACTAGAATTTGAGAATATTGGCTTTGAAGAGCCGCGGTGGACTCCCATTTCCTCCAACATATCTGCAACTTCTTCATACGTCTTACCATCCTGTAACCATTTAATGTCCCCCTTGAAATTTCCCAGCGCCATTTTTGCTTGCAACTCTTCAAGCCCCACCAATTAATCTCAGTAGATGGGGGTCAGGGTTACGCCAGGAATCACACCACGCATTAATTATGCCGAGGTAACACTTCTTCGTGCACGGCATGGCCCCCCTCCACCCCTTGCCCACCATAACTTAAGTACCGCCACAAAATGCACTACGGACTGTTAACTATGACACTGAAGTAAAAGAAAAAACAGTCTGTATTGAATACTGACCGTTTTGCTGTCTTTCAAAGTTGTTTGTGTAAAACTGTAAAACAAAAATCATTGACCGTCATGCTGTAATGAAATTTATGAAACTGATAAAACGGAATAACTGTATTTATCTTAATACCGCTTGTCGTTTTACAAAACTGTAAAACGACAAAACGGTCAATGGTTCGTTTACCATTTTTGTTTTTGAGGAAATCCAAAACGGTAAAACGAAATAATGGTGTGTCCCGGGATTGTGGATCCCGGGACATACCGTTATTTCGTTTTACCGTTTTGCATTTCCTCAAAACAAAAACAGTAAACAAACCATTGACCGTTCTGTCGTTTTACAGTTTTGAAAAACGGTCAAACGGTATTTAATAAGATAAATACGGTTTCTCTGTTTTATAAGTTTAATAAAATGCATTACAGCATAACGATCAATGATTTTTGTTTTACAGTTTTACACAAATAACTTTGAAAAACAGCAAAACGGTCAGTATTGAATACAGACTGTTTTTTTTTTTATTTCAGTGTCATAGTGAACAGTCCGTGGTGCATTTTGTGGTGCTGGGCAAGGGGGATGGAGGGGGACCATGCTTTACTTGAAAAAGTGTTACCTCGGCATAATGCGTGGTGTGATGATTCCTGGCGTGACCCTGACCCCCTTCTCACGCGATTCAGTTGGTGGGGCTTAAGAGTTGCAAGCAAAAATGGCGCTGGAAAACTTCAAGGGAGGACATTACTTTTTACAATGGATACAGGATGGTAATACGTTTGAAGAAGTTGCAGATATTTGAAGGAAATTGGAGTTCGGCGCGGCTCTTCAATAGCCAGTTCGAAAACTATGTCGTGAGAACAAAATGTGAGGAGGGTAATTTGGGTCCCAGGCAATGACTCGATCCCATGAGGACGCATTAACATTCCTAGGTGCATTGCTTAATTGCCGAATCTAAATAAAAAAATGGTCGACAGGACTATTGACCGTTTTTCATTGTCATGTTCTTTTAAAACAACACTCTGAAATGAACCAACTAACAGTTTATCGTTTTCAACAATTAAGAAAAACAACAAAAAGGTCATTGTTTTTTGTGACCTAATACCGTTTGACCGTTTTACAAAACTGTAAAACGAAAAAACGGTCAACGGTGCGTTTACTGTTTTTGTTTTTGAGGAAATCCAAAACGGTAAAACGAAATAACGGTATGTCCCAGGATTGAGGTGGCCGAGCAGTGAAAAGATGATCGGAGCATCGGAGGTTCCGTGAGCTCATAAGGGGTATGGGATCACTTGAGGGCGCTGGGATATGGCGTGTCAAACGTTGCAATATTCAATTTGCAATATATATGTTGGATGTTCAATATTTGTTTGTTATCTTTTACATTTATGTGCGATGTTCAATATAAGTGTGCGATGTTTTTCATTATTTGCGCGATGTTTAATATATTTGTGCGATGTTTTACATTTATATGCGATTTTCAATTTATATGTGCGATGTTTTTGATGATAATATGTGCGATGTTTTCAATATTATGTTCGATTTTTTGCATTAAATGTGCGATGTTTTTCGATACAATTGTGTGTGTTGTTTTACAATATATTTGCGATATTCTCAAATATGTGAGCAATGTTTTACACATATGTTTGACATTTCGAGCTATTTGTATTCGATGTTTCATCGGTATGTTTGCATTCGATCTCTTGCAATATGCATTTGATGTTTCCCTTTTCATTAAATTTCATCCGATGTTTCGTTAAGAGTCAAAGTAGACCACAAAAGTCTGACTATTTTGCCTAAAGTCAGTGTATGAGACGTCAGGGGATCGCGTAAAGTGATTAGAGCCAGACCTAAACGGTAAAAACCGGAATTGTGGGTAATTCTTTAAGCATACGCAATGCGTTCATCATTTGTTTGGGCAGTACCCCCAGCTGTGCCTGTACTACCCATAGTGTTATGTGCATCATCTATGCATTGAGGAGTGCATGACACATGGTCTGAGCTCCAAGGCCGATGTGCACCTGTCCCGTTTAATGATCCAGTTACCTGATAATTTGTTAGCATAAGCTGATGTAAAATTGGGCAAAATTAGATGTTTATGAAAAAAAATACAAATTGTAAGGGGTTAACCTTGCATTTTTTTTTTAGCAAATTCGGGAAAAATCAGATGTTTCTGGAAAATTGCAGATTGTATGGGGTTAGATGTTTATGAAACATTTCAAATTGTAAGGGGTGAACTTTGCATTTTTTTTTGCAAAATAGGCCAGGATCAGATGATCCTGGAAAATTGCAGATTGTTAGGGCTTAACCTTGTATTTCTAGCAAAATTGGGCAAAAAGAAATGTTTATGAAAAAAATTAAATTGTAAGAGGTGTACATTGTATATTTAGTCAACTTTGGCAAAATCAGATTTGTATGAAAAATCTAAAATGGTAAGGGGTTAACCTTGCTTTTTAAGCAAAATTTGGAGCATATTTTACTAAAATTGGGCAAAATCAGATGCTTCTAAAAAATCAAGTTTCCGCAAAAACAGCTGTTGAAAAAGAGCCCAATGTTGAACTTTACTGAGTCTGAGGTCTATCGAGGGGAAGATCCTTATTTCAACTCCCGGAGATTCGCTCACAGTCTCTATTTTTCTTTTTAAGAAATTCGAAATAGCTGAAGAGGGAGTGAGAATCTATATGTGCCCAGATACAAAGAGCAGAAATCTACGCGTCTGTCTTTTGAAAATACACAATTGCGGTGTTCATTGTTGCGTAATGATCCGCCTAGCACACGACTGTTTTGCACATTAGGCTGTGTTATGCAGCTTCCTAACAAACCAAACACACTGGGCTCATTATATCGACTTGTTTTACCCATTAAGGTAAAGCAAATGGACCCAGTAATCTTCCTGGCGCGTTTGCTCACCTATAAAGACAACTTTTCTCAGTTTAAGGAAAATTCTAAGGTAACAAAATGGCCGAGTGGTTACGATTCGTCGTCCACGGTTAGCGGGGTCCCGGGTTCGAATCCCGCTGGTGTCTTTTTGGTTTTTAACGAATGAATTCAATTATTCACTATAAGAGATTTAATTTCCCGTCGTAAAGTACCAACAGTACCTGAGCTTAATCGGTAAGCACTGCTGCTGGTACTGTCCGCGAGTTCCAGGTTGGCGCCTTCGTACAGGTTCAGGGCATGTGGTCCACTCGGAGGATCAGGGCTTAGGGGCCGCCCTGTTCCTCCCTTAGCTCTTTGCTTTTACATGGTGCCTGGCCCTCCGGGGTTATATGGATGGATAGGGAAGGAAGTGTGTATTGGTCGGGGACGCCGAGACCCCGGAAGAGAACTAAGGGATCGGCTGGGGCATTGTTATGGCTCAGACCGATCCCTGAAAGCTTGACTAGCACATAACTTTTAGATTTTTTTTTACCCTCTATCTTTTATACTTTGGTTTAGTTTGATATCTACAGCTGCTCGGCAGGTCTACGGGTAGTATCAAAATTGAAACAAAGGTGTATGTCATAAATCAATGAGTATTTCATAATTGACTATAATCAAAACGGAGTTTCGTTTGATCAATTTGACTATCATTATATAATGACGCGATTGCCAATTGACGTAAGAAACGCCATATATTATACCGGGAAAGAATAAAGATGTACATTGTAATATAAATATTATTGATACATCTTTCAAATAACGTGTCTTTAATTGTGAGCATTCCAAACAATACAGTAATTCGCAATAGCAATAGAATGGTATATGATAGCACGATCAATGCGTCTCTATTAAATTTAAAAAATATAATTTAGGCCCCTATGTGTGAAATATTCTTTGATTGACTATGAGCATTCCATACGAATGAGTTAATTCGCAAAATATAGCAACAACAAAAGAGAAAGGAAAAAGAGAAAATTCCTTTACCCTAAAAGCTTGAAAAATAATTTGTTTTAAAAAAGTCAAATGGGACACTTCATGTATTGATTTAACAGTTTGCAAGGGATTATAACCTTACATTTTAGCAAAATTGGGAAAAATCAGATGTTTCTGGAAAATTGCAGCTTGTAAGGGGTTAACCTTGCATTTTTAGTAAAATTTTGATATTTATGTTAACTTTAGGATAACTGGGCAATATCAGATTTATGTGAAAAATCTCAAATTGTAATGGGTGAACCTTGTATTTTTAGCGAAATTGGGCAGAATCAGATCTTTCTTGAAAATTTCAGATTGTA